CTGACGTACTGTATGCCCTGTCTCCTGTTAGCCCCCTCATTCCCTTTCTGAGGACTCAGCATCCTGTGGCACACTGGGTGACCAGGTGTCTGTAGACCTCTGTTTTAAGTCTGCTAGTGTCTGGGCCATTTACTGACTTGTTCCCACCCAAACTCCAGCCGGTTTCCCAATAGTGAAAGAACCATTGGTCCCAGTCCATCTCTGGGCTGACGTACCCGCCCTGACCTCCCAGCACTTCCATCAGGGGGACTTGAGTGGAACAATGGGATTCTGCTGGTGTGGTCCAGTTGGTACCCAACCATGGAGCAATGGCATTCATGAGTCCTGATCAGCCCCAGCTTGCTGGGGAAAAGAAAGTAGCTCAAATACGAACTGGAGGTTTGAGTCCAGAACATGCCACCGCCCCCTCAGTGGGTGCTAAAAAGCCAGAGTCAAAGAAAACTTAGCCTAAAGGCAGGAGAACGTGAAGTCACCATGGGAGTCCTACATACAAGGCCCTGAGACTGATAGCGGCTGACTCCAGAGATGACACAATAAGAGCTCTGTTTGAGGAAGACCGAGCTGCCGGGGTCAGGCGCACTTTTAAGGGGCTCTGTTAAGAATTCAGGCAGGGCTCCAAAACTGGAAATTCAAGTCAACAAAAAAGAATTTAGTTAGAAGGCATCGGGTATGAAATGGAGCCTGGTTTGCCTGGGACAAAGCAAGGGGAGAAGATAGCTCTTGGCCCAGAGGGAGAAGGGTGTGGGGTGTGTGTGGGGGGAGTGTGTGTGTGTGTGTGTGTGTCTATGTTCCCACTACTGAAGCAGTTGAGTCTCACTGCAAACACATCTTTTTTTTTTTTTTTTGGTTTTTCGAGACAGGGTTTCTCTGTGGCTTTGGAGGCTGTCCTGGAACTCACTTTGTAGACCAGGCTGGCCTCGAACTCACAGAGATCCACCTGCCTCTGCCTCCCGAGTGCTGGGATTAAAGGCGTGCGCCACCAACGCCCAGCTTGCAAACACATCTTGAAAACAAAGATCCATCACCATCAGAAAAAAAGCAGAAGACCAAGGCAGGTATGCAGATGCAAGTGAGTCATCCCAGATAAGACCATGCAAGTATGTCCTGCATCCAGGAATGTTCCTGGCCGTGCAACCACTCTTCCATGGAGTTCCAAGCACATCACAAGGCTATCCCAGACGATGCTTCCACGGGAAAGTGGAATTATAAGATAAATTGTGGGGAGGGTGATTGAATACCTCTGCAGAAGGAGTGTGAATCTTAACCTGGAATCTCCAACTTTCTGTGGAAGATGCCATGGGTGGGACCTGCCACCCGGCAGAGAGACTTTTGCCTTTTGATTTTGGTCTCAGAAGGTTTTATTTTAGGGTGGGGACCAAAGAGTCTCTCTGTGATCACTAAGACCTCAGTGAGAGAGAAGAAATAAGATCAAATGGGCTCCTTTAAACTCTTAAGAATCCCAGTCTCTGCTTGGAGTGGGGACTGCTTCCTAAGACTCAAACCCCAGAAGCTGAGAAAATAAATATAGTAATCCCTTGATAACCTCAGGAGTCAGTTCCAGAGAACCTTGGAATACCAGCCTCCAAAGGTGCCCAAACCCCTGTGTTAGATGCTGTCGTATATGTAACACCCATCCTCACGAGGCACGGAGGTGTGCAGCTGTCGTCCCAGAGCTGAGGAAGTAGGACAGCAAGATGACCATTCCAAGTTCACAGCCAACCCGGGTTACATGGCAAGACCTTGTCTCAGAAGACCAAGAGTTAAATTTGTAAATGTCAGGGATGGTGATGTGTGTGGATTGGTAGAATGTCTTCTAGCATATTTGGGTGTGGGTTGGCTCCCCAGCCCCATGTAAAACCAGGTGTCATGGCACACTCCTTATAATCCCAACGCATATGAAGTAGAGGAGGAGAACCAAAAATTCAAGATCATTCTGTTACAAAGCAAGTTCAAGGTCCTTGCTACACAATTTACACATGTCCAGTTGCTTACTTTTCATACTCTGAAGGGCCAGGTTCTCAGAAAGGATCCCTGCCAGAATAATGAAAATGAAAAGAACAATGGAGGTGGAACAAATGGTTGACAGAAAAAGGATTATACACAGCCTTCAAATGAGTGGAAGGATACTCAGCTCCCACCCAGAACAAGAGATAAAAATTAATATTAGAAAATAATTTTCATTCATAAACTTGGTTTAAAAATAAGAGCAAGAGTTGGACGTGGAGGAGAGGGTGTGGAGGACACGCTTCAGTGAATCGGCATAGCCATAAACGCCAGCAGCTAGACTGCTTCTGTCAAGGCTGCAATGTTTGGCCCCCTTGCCAAGGCGTTACTGTTTGTCCCTCCAGAACTACCTTTCACTGTCTTCCCCTAGGCCCCTGTCTTCCAGGCACACACCACCCTACCTGAGTTTGGACAGGATGAAATAAAACTATGCATCCTTAGTTCCTACCTGAAGCAGCTGTGACCTGGAGGTGTTGTTTAATTTCCTGTCGTAACTCTTCCCATGGGATTTTCTTCTTACAAATTCATGTTGGCTTTTGTTTTTTCTCTTCAAGGCCAGAGTAGTCATACCTTCCCTCTTGCTAGCAGGAGGTACTACTGAACGTTCCCTCCTGGTGGGCATGCGTCTTATTCACGTGTGTGTAACTAGACCTTATTAAAGTCTTCCTCAAAATATGCTAACTGCCCTGTGCTGTTTTCTGTATACCCACTGTCTTCACTCATTATGTGCTATAATAATAGAACAGCACAGGTCAGGTCACTTTTAATAACAGAGATTTATTTGGCTCACAATTCTGGACACTAGGAAATCCAAGATCACACCCACAACAGGAATGACTGGACCAAAGCAAGGCTAAATCCCACCGCCAAACCCTACAGTTCCGTATCTGACATCTAGGGTCCTCGACGATGCCGTTGGAAGCTCTAACGGTCTTGGGCAGCCCTGACCCTCCAGTTCCGCCTGTGGTGCATACGGCCTTCTCCCTGACCCAGCTCCAACTTGCCACCTGCAGCTTTCCTTAGTGAGCAACCCACATTTCTGACATCTCTGATAACCTAGGGTCTCCATGGCAACGTGGACTTAACCTACACAGTTTCACACACACAGCCTGTTCAGGAGATGGATGCGCCCCTCAGGAACTTTTGAAACGCTGGTGTGAGGCTCCCATTAATCTACTGACTCTTGGGTCTTGCATTCCTGCAAAAGCCGCACCACACGGAACACCGAGGTCTACAGCCAACTTGAGATGTAGGCTGGCCTACCTGGACGGCAGCGGCTGGCCTCCCTGGACGGCAGCGGCTGCCCTAGGCAGCAGTTTTCCAGTGGGGAAGAGGCACCATTGGATTCTACCCACCTCTTCGGTGGTTTTCTTTTCACACGAAAGGCCTTCATGTTCTAGCCCAGGGCTCTCAGTGGGTGGCATCTTGCCTTCAGGGTAACTTCCTTATGATCCCAGTGAGTGCAGACTCCCTGGTTTGTCTTTAGCTGCTGCGCTAACATCTGTATCAGCTGCCAGGGCTACACAAGCTTTGAACTCGCTCCCTTCCTTGCCGGCCTGCATGTTTGTCCGTGTGTTTCGGCATCACCTGTTGCTCTCTTTCGGCATAGACGTGGGTAAGAGCGGTGAGCAGTAACCATGACGACCTGCGTGCGCATCCTGTCTTTAATTCAGATGTCCTCCCCCAAAAAAATCACTCCATGACTTCCAACTCAGCCTGCTCGGGACACGGGCAGATGCTTTGCCGGACTGCAACGCAAGTGACCTTTAGCCAACTTCCCTATAGAATCCTTGTTCCTCTCTGAAACCATTCCAGCACAGTCTTTACTGCTTGTGTATCTGACCGCATTTTGGTCTTCCAAATTCCTTCTTCAAGTTTTTAGCACTTTATAGGCACTTAAAAAGTCAACAGCTCCAAAACCTTCCATATTCCTCCCGGAAACCTATCCCAAAGACTTAGGAACCACGTGGTCAAGGTTGTAACAGCAATGGCTACACTTGTTACCAGTGTTCTGTATTAGTTACTTTTCTCACTTCTGTAACCACACAGCTGACAGGAAGCCACTCAAAGGAGAAGACTGTGCTGGTTCACAGTTTGAGAGGGTCTAATACATCGTGGCAGGGATCACGTGACAGCGTCAGTGGTGAGCGGGGCAGTGTCATGTGATAGTGGGTCGGTAGAGGCATACTGTACAACTATATTAAAAAAAAGAAAAGGGTATTTTCTTTGGTGGGAAGACATCTCAAATTTATTTTTAGTAGAAAAAAAATTAAGCAGAAGGGGGCTGGACATTCCACTTCTTCCCTGAAAGAAAGGGAAGTACATTTGGCCAGGGAGGTGGTGAGGCAGGAGTCTTGCTCAAGTTCAAGCCAGCCCGTGTCACATGGTGGTAATACAGGCGCTGGAGAGATGTCTCAGCAGCTAAGGGCTTACACGGATTCAGATTCCATCCTCAGCACCCGTGAAGGGAGGCTCATAACTGCCTGCAACTCCTCCTACTTGGGCCCCACAGGCGCCATTGCTCACATACACATACCCACACACAGGCACAGAGTTCGCTATTTTAAGTGTAATTATTTAATGATTAAAGTAGATTAATCAAATGCCTATTGCATTCAAGCTTCAGAAATGTCTCCTTAACCAGGGATTGTGTACCGGAAGCTGGGGGAGAAAAGCTGAGCAGACCGACAGATAAGCCCCAAGGCCTGTCTGTCCACGCTGGCTTCAAACTCCGTCCCCTGTGTAGCTGAGGACGACCTCGAACCTTTGATCCTTCCACCACCTGTCTGGGTGCTTAGACAGGAGATGTGTACCGCCACACTGAGTTTATGCAAGACTGGAGGCCAGTTCAAGGGTACCCACAGAACCACATCTGCAGCTCGAAGTCAGCTAATTCCCACTCGCCTTTTACTGTCATGTAGATGGATATCATATACATATGACAGTGGAATTGGGCACTTCTGAGTTTTGATCTCCTCAATGTTGATTTCTTCCAGATGTGAGAGCAGAGAAAGTGCTTACAAACTCACCAGGATGCTCCCAAGCCACGCCCTCTCCATCATCCGTTTGCTCAGCCTGTGTCTCATGGGTAGGTGCTACTTTTCATCACAGCTGTTAGAGGAGCAAGCTTGTGTCTATGTCATCACACAGAGCTCTGGCATGGAGGGGCAAACTCATGTCCGTAGCTGGACGACCTGGGTCACCATGACCAGAATCAGGCATCCCAATGGCTTCCTGCCTGTTAATTTTAGTTAAGCCAGAATAATGTAAAATACAATCATATTAGGGAAACATCCTTGCTTAGAGTCCCCATACCCTTAAGTCCAAGTGGAGTTTGGAAGAGGACAGCGTCTTTATCTCTTTCCATACACACCAAATTGAAAATCTAGCCCAGAACTTGGGTTATGCATTTTATCTCATTTTTAGCCCTTTTCTCTCTACTACAATTCTGTTTTTTCACACCCTTTCCCTTGACTGTTTCACTTGACAGATTATTTGTTCCAGTTTGTCCTTAGGGAATCCATGAGTGCGACAATTGTCCCAGTATAGGTATCCATGGATAACGTGTACCACCTGTGGTCTCCACCTTCTGTAAAATGCCAGAAACTCCACTCCCACTAAGTCTTTGCAAGATCCAGGAATAAATGTCTCCCCTTACTTGAACCTACTCCAAGGGGTCAACACTCACTAATTCCTGTCACAGATACCCTTTCTTCATCTGCCATCCTGGGTAAATATCTTTACCTTTGAGGTGTATTAGTGGACAGCATGCTTATTTATATCCTGAGAAATTTTTCATATAGACAGCTGCTCCTCAGACACTCTTTCTACCCAACCCTCGCTGTTGTATCGGGTCCCAGAGACCTCACTTGACATCTGCCCTGAATGCCACCCTCAAACCACACAAGTGTCTAATTCTGTGGCGCCAACGACGGCCAGGGGCATGTCTATTCTTCACAGCATTTTTGTTAGCACAAGCAAATCTCAATGTTAATTAGTGCACACATGTCACTAATCTAAGAATTTTAAATTTAGAGTGATGTTGATGATCTGCGCCCAGAATAAATCTCATTGTAATGTGTCTTTCTTCCTCCTAGTGTGTGTGAGCCTACAGTTCGTTTCATCAACTGATGTTGAGGGTAAGAATTATTCTGAGTTTGACTAAATTTAATGTAAGGGTCAGAGTGTTGGCCTAACAGACAGGGAAAGGGGAGGTCTGATCTCAGATATGCTGACAAGTTTATTGGAGTCCTTTGTCCTTGGGAGGAGCCAAGATTTGTAACTGCAGTCTCCATTATGTCCCCTAAAACCATCATGAGGAAAAACACTAGAGATCATTAAGAAATCCTCGTACAGAAATCTGAAGCTTTTAAAACCCCTCACTGATAAAAGAATGAGGAAACAAAATATGATCCAGACATAATTTCTCTTTAATTTCTAATCTACTACATAGTGGTTTCAGGTAAAGGAAAACGTATTTCTTAAAACTCCTTTTTGTGATCAGGGGAATTGGGTTGGGGAAAGGGAGGGAGGGTGGGAGACAGGAAAAATAGAGAGAGGGAGAGTCTGAAGTGGGTGGAGTTATGCGTGGACCGCCCAGTGGAGAGGGCAGGATGGAGAGGGAGTGTGGGACAACACCCATGCTCGGGAATGAACTTGGTTATCCTGGATCCATGAGCTGTACAGTTGATGATAATTGGAGAAACATCGTGTCCAAGTCTGTTTACAGGGTACCGAGTTCCTGTTTGTGGACCTTCCTGCTCTGACAATGTGTTGTCACTAATTAACTTCACTTCCCGTGTCCAATCGACTTCCTGTGTTTTCCGGATGCCAGTAGACTTCCATCAGGGCTTCTCTGTGCGACACTGGGTCCCAGCTCCTAAGTGGGAGAGCGATCCTGAATTCCAAATTTCACTGTTTTGTTTTGTTTTTCTTTTCACCTCCTGTTCCCTCCAGATTATCCAAAGGAATCTTGCGATATAAAACTGACGTTACGAAATTTCCGGCTAATTGTGTCATGGGAACTACAAAACAAATCCATCCCACCAACTCACTATACGTTTTGGTCCACAATCATGAGGTTGGTTGACATTTCTTTTTCTTCTCCTCCTGAACACTCTGCCTCTCTATCGTGTGATTTCCTTGCTCGGTATATGTGCTTCCTGTCCCAGATGTTTAGGTAAATTTGTGTGGGGGGGGTGGCCTTTGTGTGTGTGTGTTTGCTGAGGACAGAGGTTGACATTATCTTAGTTCTGGAGACAGACTCCCACTGGGCTTGAGGTTTTTGCTAGGCTGGCTGGCCAGCAAGCCCTGGGATCCTACAGTCTCTGTCTCCCCCAGGCTAGGATTGTAGGTGCTGCCTCTATGTCCCTCTTTCCAGGTGACGCTGGGGACTGAACGCAGATCCTTACCCATGCCAGACAAGCACTTTACTGACTCATCCATCTTCCCAACTCTCTGTCTTGATTTTTTTTTTTTAATTCGGAACCTTAAAGAGCCAAAGTCAAAACACCTATCCTTTCTTAATTAATTTGAATTCTTTAATAACCCAAAGCTCTTTGGAGACAAAGCTCATGTTCATAACCAAAGGCAGCTTCTTACAGTTTACAGTTTCCCTAATGACCCCTCTCCAGCCACCCTGATGTTCAACGTCTCACTTCCCTTAGGGCTCAAAGGTCTGTTGACCATATTGATGGTTTATATCCATTTTTTTTTTTTTTACTCATGGAGACAAGTTAGACTCCAGAAAGCCCTGGTGGACAAGCTTGAGTCCAAAGTCATTGGTCACTGGCCAGTTTAATATTTAGCCCAGAGCTTTTGTCCCTTCTTAAGGATTACTACAAGGAGTAGTTCCCACATTCAACAGCACTCTGCTGCACCCTAGCTTAGACCAAGCAGCTCTTTGGAGAGAGAGAGTGTATATATGTATGCAGTGTGGCCCTGGCCCTAGATGTCCTTTTCTTGGTTACATATCTGACTTCTGACTGTTGAACTGGCCAGGAGAGGGCAAGGGTCCTCTGTGAATCTCCCTTTCTCCTGACGTGTCTTGGTTTTTATCTGCTTGATGACCACACATGTCGTTAACCGACCTGGTCTAGTTCTGTAGTTGTGATAAAATTACGCTGGCCAAAGGGGACTTGGAGAAGAAAGGGATTTGCGGGTTTTGCGGGATTTGCGGGATTTGCTTGGATTACAATCCCAGGGTACCATCCATCACTGAGGGAAGTCAAGGCAGGGACGTCAAGTGCCACGTCACAGTCCTGATTAGAGGGAGGACAAAGGCATGGCTTAAGCTAATCACCCAGCTAGCATGCTCTACTCATACAGTCCAACACCCAGTCCAGGAAGCAGGGTCACCCTCCTTCGGGGTGCATCTTCCAACCTCAGTCAACAATCAGGACAGTCGCCTACAGATGTGTCCGCAGGCAAACTCAGCCACTGCCTTCCCCACCTTGCGTTAAGCTGACAGTCACAGCTAACCAGCACTTTCCCTTTCTTACCCCAAGCTCGGTGGATCAGATGTCCATGCTGTCCCTAAACTAACACAGCTCTGACTTAAGACCGAGCTGTATGGCCTCCAGGCAGAGACGGAGGTCTCAGGAAAGCAGTCATGATTTTCCTCGAGAGTGAGGGAGGTCCTGGCTTAGGCCAGGAAAGTCCAAGCCCAGAGTGTGTTCATTCATTCATTCATTCATTCATTCATTCATTCACTCACTCATTCACTCATTCGCTCACACATGCAGTAGATTGTATCCATGAAATAAAAACCCTTCCCTCTAGACACAGACACTCAGAAAGAAGCTGGGGACGTCATTAAGCAAATAAAGGTGTAATGTAGCAGTGGGAACGAACCCTTGGGGGGGGGCGGAATCCAGAAGAGATGAAGAGTGTGGGGACAGGGAGAGTTGAGCCTGTCCGTTTTAAAATAAAGTAGGTGTGGCTGTCTAGGCAGAGCCCTGAAGGAAATGCATGAGGCGCAGAAGATGGAGACTGCACGTGCTCAGCTTTTCCTCTTCCCTGTCCCCCCTCCCACCCCAAAGCAAACTGGAAGACCCGAAGGCTTTGGAGAACTGTACAAATATCACGGAATCCTCTTGCGACGTGACAGATGAGTGGGGATACAGAAATGAGAACTATGTCCCCATCGTTGTAATTTACAGAGGAGACTCCATGCAGAGCCTCTGTGACAGCTTCGAGATCACGGCCACAGACAGTGAGTGGGTTTCTACGCCTTTCGACAGTGAGTGGGTCCCGTGTCTCAACGGTGGTTGGCCACGAAGGAGGAAGGTCAGCAAAAGTGTTTGGCTTGAGAGCTGGGCTGACTCCTCCTGGCCCTGCCTTGTGTTGCTCAGAGCCTCACCTTTCTGATCTGAAAAGTGGATCCATGACCTGGACCTCTCAGATTATTGTGCAGGTTTCCTGCAGTAATTGCAGCTGTTTTCCTGCTCTCTTTACAGCCTGCCAGGAAGTGGGGAAAGAACCTGACAGGAAGTGGGGAGGAGCCTAACAGGAAGTGAGGGATACTTGACAGGAAGTGGGGAGGAGGATTTGTACAGTCCTTCCTAAGCTGTCACATCAGTTTAGGCCATTGTCTTCCTGACCATCACAGCCTGCCTGAGATTGTAACCCAATAAAGCTGCCTGTATAAACAGCGAGGGCCCTCAGTTCACAGGGTGAGTGGAGCCCAAGAGTGGGGTGAACCCTTCCTCTCTGTGCCTGTGTCTGAAGGCTGCCCCCAAGTTACAGTACCATTACTTTCTCAGTTTCTAAATTTAAAACTGGTTCCCAAGCAGTGATTTGGCTTTGGCATGCTGTTACTGACCAAGTGTGCACACAGACACACCTTGGCAAAGTTATAATGGTGGCCGAGCCATGACCCATGCATGATTCAGATCTCTCAAGGTCACGGCAGTAGTGTGCAGGCTTTGAGTCAACATTGATATCTGTGCATAGGCTCACAGAAAACAAGCTGAAGAAGAATCTATAGATCATGGCAAGGAACTGATATTAAAGGAATGAGTATTTTTTCCCACGATCCAAATGATAACCGGGGTTACAGTCATGCACCACTGTGAGAGAGGCATTACAGCCTAAGGTCACTGTAATCCCAGCCCCTGTGAGCCCAAGACACGAGGACCTACTGCAGGGTTGAGGTCGCCCGAGGCTCCCTGGAATGTAAGAAGCCAGCCAAGGCTGTACAGTATGACTCTATGTCAAACAAACAAACAAACAAGCAAAACAAAAACCCCAGGAGTAGAAAAGCAAAACAGACATCATGCTTTGACATGGTTCTTCTGAACGGATCTGGCCATGTACATTAAAAATGAATAAATAAATAAATAAATAAGCCATCAAGATGGCTCAGTGTCAAGGCTGTACAGTATGAACCTATGTCAAACAAACAAGCAAAACAAAACCCCCACGAGTAGAAAAACAAGACAGACATCATCCTTTGGCATGGTTCTTCTGAACAGATCTGGCCGTTTACATTATAAATAAATAAGCCAGCAAGATGACTCAGTGTTAAATGAGGCACTTGTCACCAGACCCAGTGACCTGGTCAACTTCAAGAACCCACACAGAAGCCGGGCGTTGGTGGTGCACACCTTTAATCCCAGCACTCGGGAGGCAGAGGCAGGCAGATCTCTGTGAGTTCGAGACTAGCCTGGTCTACAGAGCTAGTTCCAGGACAGAGAAACCCTGTCTCAAAAAACCAAAAAAAAAAAAAAAAAAAAAAAAACCCACACAGAGAGAGCCAGTTTCCAAAAGTTGTCCTCTGACCTCCACATGTGTGCTGTATGTAATACATGTGCCCACACATATATGCATGCATACACATAAATAAGGGAAATAAAACCCTTTAAAAAACCTTAAGAGCCGGACAGTGGTGGCTCACACCTTTACAGCACTCAGGAGGCAGAGACAGGAAGATTTCTATGAGTTCAAGGCCAGCCTGGTCTACTGAGTGAGTTCCAGGATAGGCTCCAAAGTTACAGAGGAACCCTGTCTCAAAAAACCAAAACCAACCAACCAAACAAACAAACAAAAGCCACCTTAAAATAGTAGATGTGGTTCTATCAAATATGGAGGAATAAATGAAATAAAAAAACCTTTAACATGTGACCACTCTAGCCGAGAATTCCTCATTAATAATTTGTTGTAGAGAAATGACCAAGAGGATTGGAGAGTTGGTTCTGCAATTAAGAGAACATAGTGTTCCTGCAGAGCTACTGAGTTCAGTTCCCAGCATCCACAGGGAGGCTCACACCACCTATACAACTACAGTTTCGGGGATCTTCTGCCCTCTTCTGGCTTATAAAGGAAACTGCACTTACATGCACATTCCCCACAAACATACACACATACACATAATTTAAAATTAAAAAAAAAAACTTTTAAAAGGAAAAAGAACAGGGTGGTGGTGCACGCCTTTAATCCAAGAACTCAGGAGATAGAGGCAGGTGGATCTCTTTAAGTTCAAAGCCAGCCTGGTCCAGGAACCCTAGAACTGTTAAACAGAGAAATCCTGTCTCCAAGGGAAAAAAAAAAGTCGGGGGGAAAGGGAGAGGGGCCGGGGGAAAGAGAGAAATAGCTAAGGACAAATATAAAACTGTAGCTCCAAGAACACTGTATGACACATTGATTCTTTTCATAAATAGTAAGGATAATCTGTTTGTTCAAAATAGTTAACCAGTTGGGGGTCTAGAATACAAGGATTTAAATTCAACCTGGAAAATTGTGACGTGAGTTTGGGGGGTCAGAGATACTCACAAAGGCCAGGGAAGAACATTTTAGACTTTGTGAGTCACACAGTCTCTGTCCTGGGTTATTCTTGGTGTTTTCCTTTGAGATCCCTAAAAAAACAAGCAAAATCATCCAAAAGAAAAAAATCTGAAATTGTAGGTTGTGCCAAAGTCTAACCCATGAGACATGGTTTTCTAACCCTTGAGGTAGATAAGTATGTATTAAAATGTTTATGAACTATAGTTAAGTGAGTCAGTACTGAAGAACCAGAGGTAGAGAATTGTGAGTTCAAGGCCGGCCTGGGCTGTGTAGGAACAACCTGGGTTGTTTTTGGGGGGGTTGTTTTTTTTTAAGCAGTTTAGTGAAATTATAAGAAAAAAAACATTGTGGGTTAGAGGGACTTAGTTTCAGTGTGTGTGTTTGTGAACATGCATGGGCGTGTATAGAATTTATATGCCCAGTTAATACTTGTGACTATGTGTATATTCATGTACATACATTGTAAAAAGAAAGTTGATTGTACTCAAAGAAAATTACCACCTTGTTTTCTACAAATGTGTGTGTACATATTGGTTTTTTGAGACAGGGTTTCTTTGTGTAGCTTTGTAGACCAGGCTGGCTTCAAACTCACAGAGGTCCACCCACCTCTGCCTCCCAAGTGCTGGGACTAAAGGCGTGTGCCTCCACCACCCAGCTTTACAATTGTGTATTATCATCCTGTATGCATGTTGAATTATGAAAACATTTTAATTTTGTATCTAGGACACAGGTTGAGAATTGGGACTCTGTTGGCGTCAGTCTCGCATCTGTCTATAGTGCTATTGAGTCATCTCACTGTCTTATTCTCTGTTTTACACCAGCAAATCCAAACGATGCTGTACGGCTAGAACTAGAAGCCCATTCACACAGTATTAGCCTTTCTTTAAAAGAAATGACATTGTGTCTGACAACAGGAGGTGTGGTAGTTACACATCTAAGAAATGACATTGTGTCTGACAACAGGAGGGGTGATAGTTACACATCTAAGGAATGACATTGTGTCTGACAAGGAGGGGTGATAGTTACACATCTAAGGAATGACATTGTGTCTGACAACAGGAGGGGTGATAGTTACACATCTAAGGAATGACATTGTGTCTGACAAGGAGGGGTGATAGTTACACATCTAAGGAATGACATTGTGTCTGACAACAGGAGGGGTGATAGTTACACATCTAAGGAATGACATTGTGTCTGACAACAGGAGGGGTGATAGTTACACATCTAAGGAATGACATTGTGTCTGACAAGGAGGGGTGATAGTTACACATCTAAGGAATGACATTGTGTCTGACAACAGGAGGGGTGATAGTTACACATCTAAGAAATGACATTGTGTCTGACAACAGGAGGGGTGATAGTTACACATCTAAGGAATGACATTGTGTCTGACAACAGGAGGGGTGATAGTTACATATCTAAGGACTAACTGCATTCACTTCTCACCCTGTTTCCCACGCAGCTAGACTTGAGCCGCCAGAATTCGGGGTTGTCGGCTTTACAGATCACATAAATGTGACAATGAAATTTCCACCCGTCACTCCCAAGCTATTCAGGGAGAGCATATGGAATATGCTAGTCTATAGGTCGCTTGTCATCAAAGAACAGGCGGGTCAGAGCGTCAAGCTGGTAAGTGGTTCTTCGTGCTCAGATCTAAACAATGCCCAGCTGGCTGTGGATATCCTTCAGTCTTCCCAAGAACTGTGTAGAGCCAGGGGGCGGGGCTTGCTGCACCGCATTGGAGGAGGTAGCTCAGTGGTAGAATCGCTTTCTACCAGGTCCAACACCCAACTCTGCAGAGACAGGTGGACACAGAGACGGGGAGGCAGAAATGGGGAGAGAAGTTGTATCATCTCCCGTCACATTTCAGCCATGCTTCTTCATGTCTGTACCGTGAGCTGCAGCATTTTAGACTGTTTCACAAGTGAGGTGTGTCTACTGGGATAATAACAGCACAAGAGTGATGGGAGATGCCTTTCTGTAAATCTGTCTTTTATTGGTTGTTGAATAAAGCACTGTTGGCCAATAGGGAAGTAAGAGAGGTGGGACTAGGAGTCGAGCAGGATTCTGGGAAGGAGAAACACAGGGAGTCACTATGTAGCCGCCATAGAGGTAAGAAGTCCAGACCCTTTCTCCGGTAAGAGAAATACTTAGATTAACAATTATGGAGTAAATACTTAAGTTAGAGATAGCCAGTAAGAAAACAAACAAACTGCCAACAGCTTCATAATTAATATAGCCTCCTGTGTGTTTATTTGGGACTGATGCGGATCTAGAACTAGGCTGGCGGGAAGACTTCTCTCTACACGGGAGGATGAAAACCATAGGCCGCAGGCCTCTTCTTTATTAAAGAAAATCAGCCTTTAAGTCATGAAATGAAAGAGGCCGTTGGTGTAACCCAGGCCACAGGTGGGAGTAGCCTGGACCAGCTGGTGATGTGATCTTCCAGTGTGGCGTGCGTTTTTATAAATGAACTCTGCGGTGTGGGAGAGAGAGAAAAGAGAAGGGTTACGGCTGCAGTGTGTTACAGTCCTGATATAATGAGGGCTCTGGGTGCAGCTCAGTCAGGAAATGTTCACTGCCAGTGTGGTGTTCAGAGGGAGACCATGACAGACACTGCAGGACCTGCGTCCTGAGTTAAAGGGAGAGTCCTTCGGTCAGAGTGAGTTGTGGGGCAGACCCTGGTTGGAACAGGCTCCAGAAAAGCATCACGGGGCTGGCTCTCCTCCACAGCCTTTCTTTTAAAGGGAAAGAGCAACCTGTAGCAGAGCTATAGAAGGTGAGCGTGAGGGAGGGGCTTTCTAAGATTGGAGAAGTGACAACATGTCCAACGCTGGCGCAATGCCTTGGAGAAGGGGAGCATTAGTGGACTCTCAGTGGGACGTCCTAGAGTTAGTGGCATTTCAGGAGCATGGAAAAGGTGCCCTTGGCTGGGCGCAGAGACGGAGTGGAGTACCGCAGCAGAGATTGCTGTTACTGTAAGGAAACACCTGTGGCGACACGCTCTATCGAGAAGGAGGTTTGACTCTTGCTTTTGGAGTCAAGGTTGAGAGATGATGTTTTTTGGTGGCCCTCCCACTCAGTCAGTCCTGAGACAACACAGCGTATCACGTGACGAGAACAGGGAGCATTCATGTGTGTGACCAGGGGTGGTTTTCTTATTGAACCACCAGGGTTTAGTCATGGGGCTCTACTCCAAGGACCCAAACTAATCCTAATCACATCCCAAAGGCCACGCCTCTAAACACCATTGTCACTCAGGTTCAGCCCACAAAGGCCACGCCTCTAAACACCATTGTCACTCAGGTTCAGCCCACAAAGGCCACGCCTCTAAACACTATTGTCATTCAGGGTTCAGCCCACAAAGACCACGCCTCTAAACACCATTGTCATTCAGGGTTCAGCCCACAAAGACCACGCCTCTAAACACTCATTGTCACTCAGGTTCAGCCCACAGAGGCCACGCCTCTAAACATTCCTGTCACTCGGGTTCAGCCCGCAGAGAGGATTCCATTTCAACATAGGAACCTCTGGAGGATGCACTCAAGCCACATGCAAACAGAAACAGAGTCAGCTGCTTGACTGGAGCCTTTGCCCGCCGAAACCGTCCGCTACTGCCCCGGGCGTGCTCAGCGTCCCGGAGGCCTGTTTCCTGCCCGTCCTCTGGGAGGCGCCAGCTTTGCTGCTGCACCGAGACCACCCCGGCCCCACTCTCCTCCTCCAATTCTTCCCTCCACGCTTGAGCTGCGGTTTGTTGAGCTGTCTGCCTCTTTGTCTGGAAAAGAGAGGCTGCTAGGGATGCGGGCTTACCGGAGAGCTCGTGTGGCTAGAAGTCCCAGCTTAGGAAATTGCTGCTGAGAGCGCAAAATGAGACTTTTTACAGTCATTATGTAGGGTAGAGGTGAGGCTAGGGGAAAACGATGATATTGTAGAAATGACGTCATGGAAACCTTCATTCGCTTTAGGGCTTTTTCTTCTCATCCGTAAAATGGAGCTGATAAGCCAGATGCCATGGTTTTAGAAAATATGTGCATTGTGTGTAGACATGTGGGTTGGTGGAAATTGCTTGCTTCTAGAGACTTAGAATCCTTTTCACTAGTTAATCCTACGATGTTTTTAAACCAAGGCCTTAACTGATCTCTCTCTCTCTCTCTCTCTCTCTCTCTCTCTCTCTCTCGTGTGTGTGTGTGTGTGTGTGTGTCTATGTGCCTGTGTCTCTTTTTACAGCACAAGCCCAAAATGAAGAACATCACTGGGAACGTCACCTATGTCCTTCGAGACTTACTTCCAAAGACAAACTACTGTGTATCTGTTTATTTTGAAGCTGAAAACCCGAAAAACACTATAAAGTCTCCCTTTAAATGCACCGTCCTTCAGCCTGACCAGGAATCAGGTATGGTTAGGTTTTTAAAATTTGCACTTTTATTTTGATGGAAAACCTGTTGAATGAAAGGAAAGGAAAAAAAAAAAAAACCAACTCAAGTTCTAGTGTGCTGAATGTACTTCTCCCAATAAATGCACATCGTGTCACTGTTCCTATTGGTCCGTCTCTAGTGTCTGTCCTGCCGTAAGAATAACCAGTATCTGCCTGAGAAGGTTAGATCCCTGTAGCACTTTCATGTAAGGAAATCTGGGTTCGATTCAGCACCGTGTGCCCTTTGGGCATTGTTTGTGCCTAGTGCTAGAAGTCTCGAAACTGCTTCACGTCCTGACATTAGAAGCCTGAGAAGGTGCAGGAGGGAAACCGGGCCCTGGGGTGTGAGTCCTGCAATATTGGTTCTGCATGTAGAGGGAAGGGGCCTTCTCCAGGCTAATACTGTCACCCCAACCTTTCTCTATCTGAGAAGCTGAGTGGCCAGGACGAAGGAGCACCTGTCCGGAGCACTGGCAGGGAGCATGGGGTGTGGTGGTGCATGCCTATACTCTAGCCTTCCGGAGGTGAGGCAAGATGATAAGTTTGAAGCCATCCTGTGCTGCGTAGTGAGTTTCAAGCCAGCCTGAGTCATATAGCAAGACCCTGCCCCCCAAAAAGAAGACGTGGAAAGGAGAGCAGCTGAGTTTAGTCACCTTCCCTATTTTCTTGGACAGTTACTAGTTCTTCAGGTGTCTAATTGAAAGAAGAAGGCCCTGAAAATCCCCCTCAGAGATGGCTCTGTAAATTCTTCAGCCCCAAAGACGGGCTCCTAAACGCCGTGGTGCATCAGAGTGAAATTAAGATTGCTTTTGCAAGGGACTGGAGAGATGGCTTGAATGGAAAATGTCCCCATGGATGGGCTCATGATTGGAGCCCTTGACCTCCAGCTGATGGCTTGATTTCTGAGTCTTTCTGGAAGCTCTGGGAGGTTGGACCCAACTGACCAAAGTGGGTAACCGGGCATGGGGCTAGCCTCGACGGCCCTGCTGTGCGGCACATTCTCTGCGCCCTCGCCCACCGCTTGAACAGCTTCCAGTACACACTCCTGCCACCGAGTGAGCTCCTCCGCACCTCCTTCCCTGTCAGGATGGACAGACTCCGACATGGTGAGCCAAAGCAAATCCTGTCCCCTTCCATTTCTTCTGTGAGGCCAGTCTGCCACAATGTTGCCAATGTAACTGTTACAAATGACTTAGCTCTTTGGGGGATTCAGCAAGCTGCACTACCTAGGGCCTGGCACTAGGGTGGTCCATAGCGGTGGGACCTCACCGTCCAGTGTTTCTGCAAGCAGAAAGATACACAGGTTGATACTAAAGGTAAAAGGTCAACCTTTACCGGAAGTGGTGTTTCACTCTCTGTAGCATATAGGTCCTACACAACCACTAACACCATCTGTGTCTGACGCCAGACCTCTTAACTCTGAGACAGGCAATACTCGAGTTTGGACCTGTTTCCATAGATTGTCCCCCACTTTAGACGCTAGCCACAAGGTCAAGGACTTCAGACCACAGGGACTCCTGTCCAACACGGCTACAAAACCAAGACCTCCCCCAAATTCCTCTCAGATCCAATAATTTGATGCAGTGCCTCCCAGAACCCAGGAGACTTAGGAGACTGTTTGGGATAAAGGTTCTACATGAGTCTAGTGAGGAGGGTTCATGGGACAGGGATGGAAGGGTCCGAACACTGGAGAGCGGCGAGTCATGTTCCGGGGCTTTAGCTGGGCCTAAGTCATCAGCCACAGCATGAGACTTAATGTCCTAAAGTACAAATCAGCCCTCATCCTGAAGCTGTCTCCCTGCCCTCCGGGCATCGCTTCATTGGCATAAACTTAGGTGGTTGCTGCCTTAGCCTTTTTTTTTTTCTGCTGTTAAAAATGAAATAACCCAAGTGGATAACTTTAAATAAAGAAGAGGCATTTAGGGGGCTGGAGAGATGGCTCAGCAGTTAAGAGCACTGGCTGCTCTTCCAGAGGTCCTGAGTTCAATTCCCAGCAACCACATGGTGGCCTACAACCATTCATAGTGGGATCTGATGCCCTTTATGTAGGCATTAAGTCATTCATGCAGATAGAGCATGTATAAATAAATAAATCTTAGGGGGGGAAGGATCCAAAATAGGAAAGCTTCCTTTCAGAACCATAGCTCGTAGGAGATGTCACAGGCCTTGGAGGACATGTAGCAAGGTGGTTTATGCCGAAGTCACATTTGCAGTATCTTATCCATTCCCATAATGACAGCATTACTCCACGCATAAGGGCAGAGCCTTGTGACCCAAGCTCCTCCTACCGCCCCCTGTACCTTCTCAGTGGGCACTAACTACACAGGGGACTTTGCAACCATAGCAGACCCCAAATGGTGCTTGTTAAAAACAGCAGGTCTCACTCGGGGAATTTCATGAGGTTTGAAGCTCTGTGCCTAGACACACACACACAACGCGCGCGTGCGCGCGCGCACACACACACACACACACACACACACACGTAATAAAAAAATAAATTCAAATTAGCAAACAACAGAGGAAGGTTTACTGTGACCCTGAGTGGCTAACCCAGCAGCTGGCCATTCTCTGGAAGGTGACCGACTCTCCCCTCACCCCACCCCACGCTCCACCTGCCAAGACTTGGTCTCGCAATAGCTTGCTGTGGGTTCATCCCAACATTATCCGATGTTAACACATTGTTTTACGTGTCGTCCGCCTCCCTTCCGTCACTAACTGAGACAGTTAAAGGGCAGGGAACTACAACTGTCCAAACAGATGTGTTTTCTTGTCTGGCAATTACACAGATTCAGATACTGTGACGCCTCCCCTGTCCTGCTGCCATCCGAGCCACTCTTAGCCAGCAGAACCAGCTGTCCCTTGATGGACAGCTGAGGCCAGTGCGTACTCTTAGCATAACAGCCACGGGAGGATTCTAGCCCAAAGGTATCATGAGGAATCCTCCCCCTTGTTAATCCCTATATCCATCAATTGGCTCTTAGAAAACCCTGAGGGGACTCTATTCACTTGTCAAACAGCAGCAGTGACAGAAATAGAAATCTCACACTGTGGGACTCCCGCTGCTGCCGGAGACGAAATAATGATATTTAAAGATAGAAACAGAACGACACTAAGAACTACGGGGGAAAATAAAGCAAGCAGTCAGTCACTCTGTAGACCAGTCTGGCCTTGAACTCACAGGGATCTGCCTGCCTCTGCCTCCCGAGTGCTGGGATTAAAGGCGTGCGCCATCAACACCCGACTGGGATTGATATTTTTCTATCACATACTGAAAGACGTTGGATGAGAAGAGTATTTGTTTAAGTTGTACTGGTGGTGGAGTGGTACACAAAATTATGGACTGTACATAGTAGTTTTACTAAAGCTTAGAATACGTTTTCATGTTCCTGGAGTATGACAACCATAAAATGGAACACGAATTCCCATTAGAGAATGAATGGGGATTTTAAAATTCAGAAATAGAAGTGCAGTCTGAAACTGTTCAATATTCCTATTTTTTCAAAATTGCCATGAGCTCATCCATAAGAAAGAGAAGGACCAATTACCCTGATCATCTATAGGTTTATTTATAGAACTGATGCTAGACCCTATTATGTCACTTCTACTGGTCCACAATGTAGTTGTTAGCAATCTGAGAAGAAAGAGTAAATCCAGACCACAGAGGCCGCTCCACACTCTGCACCCAGAGTGACCCATCGCTCCTATTATCTGTGTAACAAGAGATAGGCTCTCTTTGTTCTCACTCAGCTTAAACATTTTAATCGCATTGCTTACTTAATCAAATTTCCATGTTTCTGTCTAATCATCTACTGGCCTTGTATTTATTATATGTATGTCCAAAACTATTCACACATAATATGTATAAAAAGTGACACCTATTATGAGTGGAACTTTCTTAAAAGACTTGATGTTAAACATTACAAATGATTAAAAATGTCCTTTTAAAAAAAAAAAAAGCAAGCAGTCAGGTGAGGAAGTGTGGGAGCCGGGTGAGCAGCCCCCCTTTCAAAGATGGCCGTCTCGGTGCACACCCCCCCTTCAGTTCCTGATCAGCTGTGGTTTGTGTGGAGGTAGACGAACCTCAGGAAGGGGCTGAGGGAGCAAGTGTGGGCCAGCAAAGAAAGGACTAGTGGTTGCCGCCCGCGTGGGCGTCCTCTGCTCAGCAGTCCACTCCCAAGGGCTTCCCAGGGACTTGTCACACCCTCAGTCACCGGGGTGGCTAGTGGTCCTGCGCGGTGTGATCTCCAGTCCTTCGAAAGCAACTCATGCTTAGCTGTTAGTATGCGCCAAAGCATCCACAGTTCATGATGGGTAGAGGGGCGTGGGTGGCATGCCTACAGCATCCGCCACCGACGGCCAAAGGGAGTACTTCCTGGATGAGGGCCCCGGGGAGCTGTGGTGGGCGGGGTAACAGTAACATAAAGGTATCTGGATCTTGATCGTAGATGTGTTAACTTGCTACCTGCTGGGGACAAAGAGGCTTGGTGGTTCCTATTAAATTCAAAATAGAGACAGATTGTCCCAGGCCACCCGCGTGGGTCTCCTGGGAGCACCGAGGACCTTTCAAGGGAAGGAGGCAGAGGACAGTGACAATGGAAGCAGAGGTCGGACAGTAGGAGACTGGGAGTTGCCTGTCAGCTGTCCCTGGGGATGGAGAACTGGCTCTCCAGAGCAGAAAGGGACATGGAAATGGACCTCCGATGACATCCGCAAACACCCTGATCTTTATTCCACTGAAAATCATTTTGGACGTCGGAGTTGTAAGCCAATCTGAGTTGAGCTAGGTTTTGCCGACTTGCTTCTTTAGGCAGGACCATAGGAACAAAGCAAATGGGTCTCGGAGACATAGCAGAGAGGGAATTCCATAGGATGGCCCATCGGATGCTGGAGAAGCATTGACTTGGAGTTCAGTGAGCAGAGGGTGAACAGTACTGGTTTAAGTCAGAGACGGAGGGAGGCCCTAGATGACCTAGGTCTTTAAAAGCCATTAGGAGGGATGGGGACCCCAGGGGGACTTGAGCAGATCTGACAGGATGTAGGAGGAACATCAGTGTGCCACAAAGTCGGGGATCCAGGTGGCTCCCTGTCAGGCACCGCAAATAATCCAAATGGGAGACCAGCAGGGAAGAACTCCAAGAAGAATTAGCCTTGGCAGTCTTAGAAAGTTCTCCTGTCCGCTGCAGAGAATGGCAGTCACAAAACACCGTCCTTGCTGCCCAGGCCTCTTGGGTTTCAAAAGAAAGACAAGATGCATCCAACGCCAAGATTTGAAGATAACAAATTTCTGCTGCCCAAAATAAGCTGACCTAACCCTCTTTTAGGAAGGTGATCTACAATGATAACACATGCGTAATAGGCCACAAGCCAAGAGAGGTTGCATTTTACGTTGCCACTAAGGGAAAACGAGACACAAACCTTTAAGTCATGGAGACCTCTGAGCCTGATGACAAATCGCCCTGTGGGGAGGGTTACCGTAGCTCGCTGCTGAGCGCGATTTGCATAGTGTGTTCCTAGACCACTATGTGTCAGCCATGTGCGGGTTGAATTGGATGCACTGCTCTCCCTGTGGACTCTTTAGAAAGTCAGGTGGGTCACCTGTGAGTCAGAACCCTGTGTTACCCAAGGCCTCACCCCTGGGGGTTAGGAAGCGTGGGAAGATTTTGTGTGTCTGAAAGCGGTGCCTCTGAGCCTAGGCCTGAGGATTCGCCACCATTCGTGGGCCTGGGTTTGGAGGTCAGGGCTAACTACCAATGAGCTAGCTGTTCATTAACTCACCCTTTAAAAGACTTGAAGTATACGATCAATTTTCAGTGCCTTTTCTCTCCTATGTCTGTTTCCCCTCAAGCTCGTACTAACACAGAGCCTTTCTGGAAATTGAAGAGAATGCTGCGTGTGGAGACGCACTGCGCCTTGGCACGGTGGTACTTAGGGAAACTGCTGCTCTCAGCGCAGAGGTAGAAGTCTTCCAGAAGGAATCTTGACAAGAGCCTAGGGAAAGTCTTTCACAGGCAGAGAGAGCACCGAGGCTGGGTGCCTGATGTGGCCAAGGCCGAGCCTCGGAATGGCCTGATTGGTTTTCCAGGCTGCTGTTCCAACCTCCAACTCTCCCATCTGGGCCAAGCAGGGATTTGCGGTGTGACAGAAAAAGCAGGCTCCAGTTTTGATTGTTGAAATTTCAAGAACCACAGACAGCTAGGAGCTACTCTGTTGCAATTACAGAACACAAAACTATGTTTTCTTTTTATTTTGAAACCTAAAAATGTTTTGTTTAAAATAAAAGCACTTATATTAGCTTCCATTCTTTGGCATCTAGCGATAGAATTTTTTTTCAAACTTTTGCCTCGTCCGCATTAACTTCTGGCACGAGACCAATATGAGTGTTACCCCACTTGTGACCATGCACTGAATTTCTTTTGAATAAAGTCATTTATCTTTTCATCAACAGGACCATCAGAGTCTGGCAAAGTAGGAATAATTACTGGGTGTGTGATAATAGTGGCTTTCTTCAGCGCCATCGTAATGCTGAAACGGATTGGTTATATATGCTTAAAAAACAATTTCCCCAATGCCCTGGTATGTAGTTCTTCTATCTTTATTTCTTAAATTATGTGTTTATTTTTATTGGCGTTTTGCTTACATGTATATATCTGTGTGAGTGTCTCAGATCTCCTGGAACTAGAGTTACAGACAGCTGTGAGCTGCCATGGGAGTACTAGGAATTGAACCCAGGTCCTCTGGAAGAGCAGCCAATGAATGCTCTTAAACACTGTGCCATCTCTCCAGCCTATCTTTACTTCTTATTTTAACTTGATAATTTTTATTATAGATGTAACATGTTTGCAGTAAAGAATCTCATTTTCCAAAAACATCAGTTACCTTGGTTGTCCTAGATCCTTTATTATCCCTGCAAGTCTCAAACGTATCGGGGCATTTTCTATTTTCTGTCTTTTCTACCTATTCTCCCTCTCCTCTCCTCCCTCCCCCCTCCCCCGCCCCATGGTAGGTATTTGTTCATGTGTGCGCGTGCGACGTGGAAGTCACGTGTTGACTTTAGGTGTCTTTCTCAATGGCTCCCCCGGCTTATTTCCACTTGGATATTTTAATTGGGTCTTTGAGAATTTCACACAGTATCTTTTGTTCCTGTCCTTTCCTGGATTGCCAACTCCTCCCAGAGCCTTCCCCTTCCTACCCACCCAACCTCACGTTCTTCCTCTCTCTTATTAAAAAGAAACAGAGCTCAACTACATTTACACTTACATACTTGTGCTTGGGCAGGGGGTGCCGTCCGTGGCATCCTCTGAAGTTTGAGCCGGGCTCGTCCCTCTCTGTCTGCTGTGCGGGTCTGGGGTGGAGCCCGGTGCGCAGTCTTGAACTAGAGTGCTTCTGCCTGTCATTCTGTCTGGCCTGCCCTCTCCACTTTGTTTTTTGTTTTTGTTTTTGTTTTTATGGAGTAAAACATGTTTTCTTTTTAGTAAGCTCATTTGATTTTTATCTATTCAACTGCATATAGCTTTTCCAAAACAAGCTAATGATTGCTTTTTTTTAACTTTAAAACAATTTTTTGAGATTACAACCACATCATTTTTCCCCTTCCCCTTCCTCCCTCCAAACCTTCCCATATAACGCCCCCTTGCTCCATCTCAAATCTGTGGCTTCTTTTTCATTAATTATTATTACATACATGTACATATGCATTGTTATTACACACACACATATGTACTTATATTCCTAAATACACACGTGCAACCTGCTCAGCCTGTATAACGTTACTCTTACATGTGTGTTCCGGGCTGACCGTTTGGTACTTGATAATCAAGTTGTCGCACTCTTCCCTGGGGAAGATGATTTCTCCAGCTCCAGCCCCCCGTTCCCCAGTTGCCTATGGTTCTCTGTGTATGGTTGCAGACTGGGCTTTCCGGGACTCCAGTCTGCTCTGCCTGTCTATTGGTGCTGTCCTCGTTTCCGGAACTGTCTATTGGTGCTGTCCGCGTTTGGCTCGCGTTTGGGTAGTCACTTTGGTGAGACGGTACAGGTGTAGCTTCTAACAGTCCTAGGAGACACACTCTCACAGCACGCTTACGGTCCTCTGGCTCTCACGCCCCTTCTGTCCCCTCCCCTGCAATGTTCCCTGAGCCTTAAGGGTGGGCATTGTTTCCCCCTTTATCTTTTTAAGAAGGTCTCTCACTGAACCTGGAGGCCCTGCGCTCAGCTAGGCTGGCTGAGAATGAGCTTCAGGTCTGTGGCTATCCTGGAATTACATTATTATCCAGGCATATCCCCCCCCCCGCTCCTGTAGGGCATTTGGATTTTCTTCTCTCTCTCTTTCCAATTAGGAATAGTACTATGGAATTTTTTTATGTAGGTCATCTTTTCATTTTTTAGATTACTTCACTGAACCATACACACACACACACACACACACAACACACACACACACACACACAGAGTAGGTTTATCTTATAAAATGTCATAACGAGCTAACTTGTCATGCTTTGTTCTATGTACTTGATGGCTGCTCACGGTTGTTCTCAAGGGCTGCTACTCTCCTGAGTCATGAAGACAGCGGTTTGCTTAGCTTTTGTCTGTTTCTGTTGGCAGCTCATGGGCCTCGAAGAATCTGAGTGTTGACCTTCATCTTTCTAAACGCTGTGTGTTTTCACTCAGCTGCTTTTCCCGGCCATTTATCGTCTTTCCTGTCACATTGTCCCCTCTTACGTTGCTTTTGTAACCTTTCAAATGGAGACGCCTTGTTTTCTCCTGGTGCAGCTCATCTGCATCATCCCGTTCTCCCAGCGGCCACTGTGCCTCCACATGGGGTAGCTTCAGTCACTTTGTTCTACTGTCACCTTGGCTCTGTCCTCTACTTCTCTGTTAAAAACTGTTGCTCTCCATGTAAGCAAACCCTCCAGAAAAAGGAATGTATGGCACTCTAGGCCCAGTGTGTTTGGAGATGCGTTTTTACCAGAAAGTTCAATTTGGAATCAAACTCGGGTCTTGCACGTGCTAGTAAAGCTTTTTAAATGGTTACTGTTTTGATTTTAACAAATCCTTGTTGACTCTCTACTGAATGACCTGTGCTCCAAGTGTCGGTTTGTGGGACAAGGCCAACAAAATCCCAGGTGGGCTTGGTTTGAAGAGTAGGGCAGACTGCAGTTATTCATAAATGAGAATATTAGTCTCAAAAAAGTGTATGTCATTCTGGGGATAAATTTTTATGTCAGTAATCTGCCCTACATAGTGAGTACAGGGCCAGCAAGTCTACACAGGGCAGACTGTCTCAAAGAAAACAATCAAAAGGTTTGGCAAAATCATTGCATACTGAAGTTGGCTGTGTTTGATTAGAAAGTAAGGGTGAGGCTGCTTCCAGCCTCAGAGGAACCAAGTACAAAAGTCGCTGTGCTACTGAGTTTCACCCAACCCAAACAACTACGTAGCTTATGCCCAGATGGAGACAAAAACAAAACCACAGTCAGCTCTGCCGGGGTTCTCTCTTGCCACCTTCCAAAGCACCGATGCTCACCAAGATTAATCCAGATTACTAGGGACATGGATTATTTTCCTGGTTTTTATATTCATAGAAACAGAGTATCATTTTCAATAGCCCCAAAATCCACGCAACTACAGAAGCGGCAAGTTATTTTTTTAATTTAAGAAATAAATCTAATAAAAACACGCATGCCCACCACACAGGAAAGAATAACATAGGGTGACAAAGGCCATCCAAGGAAAAGCCCAGAAACGCGAGTGTATGCTTAGAAGCCTGCTGTGTGGCAGCGGCTGTGGGGGAAACCAGGGCTGGCGATGGTGTCACCTGTACCAGACAAATTATATGGGATCCCTCTCTGTCTCATAACACACACGGTTTACATGCATAGTAAGTCTAGAGGCTGGGCGCTCAGTGGCATGGGTTATGCTTAGCATACAAAGGGCCCTGAGTTCAATCCCCAGCATGTACATGCACACACACACACACACACACACACACACACACACACACACAGATAAGCCTGCTTCATAGCGCAGTTGTGAGGGCAAGGGGACTTAGAAAATGGCTTGCATCCCAGGCTTCACCCAACCACAAACAGGGCATCTAAATGGACTCTTTCTTGGCAGTGTTCCCTAGGCAACCCACTGCTCCATTCACGCAGCGTTTGCATTGCACTAAGTTCAGTCTAGAGGTGCTTGCAAGTGTGAAGGAGGGAGAGCAGAGGTGAAGGCAAATGGTGTGACGGTTTACATGGGGGGGTCCTAGCACCCTTGGGTCTGGAAACACAGGAGCAGCGGCCAGCAGCCAAGTGTCGCACGGCCATCAGCGTGTGTAACTAACGTGCCCGCGTCTGCATCACCTCCCAGTGAATACTAAGTTTTTATGTTGGAGAGCTAATACGAGTGAAAGACCTTCTCTCTCTCCCTCCCTCGTGTCCTTCCTCCCTCTCTAGAATTTCCATAACTTTCTGTCCTGGATAGTCCCTGAAGTGCCACCATCAGAAGGAGTCGACAAGTTGGAGATCATTCCCACAAACAAAAAGAAGAAGGTGTGGAATTACGATTATGGAGACGAAAGTGACAGTGACGGTGAGGAAGTCCCCAAAGCAAGCGCCACTGGCTACACCACGCACGGACTGATGGGTAGGCTTCTGAGTCAGGCCTCCGACCCCTCCACCAGCCCCCAGGAGCCCCAGCTTGAGGAAGACTCTGCCACAGAGGAATCTGATGCCACAGGGGCTGGGGCTGAGCCAGAGCTCCCCACAGAGGCTGCGATGGTGCTGGGCCTCGGGCCTTCAGAGGACCCGAGTGCTCCCTATGAGCGGAGAGAGAGTGCGCTCCAGGACTCCTTCTCCGGGCATGACAGCAGCTCCATGAATGAGCCCGGGGAAAAAGTTATCTTCAATGTGAACTTAAATTCTGTGTTTTTGAGAGTTCTCCACGATGGCTCTGAAGACGGCTCAGAGGCGTCGTCTCTAGCAGAAGACCCCGTCCACCTAGACGAGGCTCCCCACAGGACAGAGTCAGGCCTCCCGATGGCTGGTGGGGACAGGACACAGTCACCCCATCCCAGCATCTCTTCCCAAGGTCTGTGGACTGAAGATGGGTCGTCTGACAAAACTGACAGCTCAGACTCAGATGCTGACATAGGGGATGGCTATATTATGAGATGACTAGCAGCTGGAGCTGAGCGCCTACGGGGGTCTCCTCACAGCCTGGCTGATACCTTGTGGCCCGCAGCTGTCTGCGGGGGAGGGACTAGGGACCTCTGGAACCCTCCCGGTTCTTGCCATGGTCCCCTGGGTGCAGACTCCCAGTTTGTGGATCCGTATTGTTTACGTGGGTCATGAGCATGCCCCGCCCACCCCGTTCCCACAGATGCACTAAGGGTGGGGCTGCATTATGTTTCCCAGGGAACAGTGTTCACTGTGACTTTCAGGGGTAGCCAAGGCCCCCCATGCCTGGGGTCCTATCTAGGCAGTAATTAAATGGGGGCAGAGAAAAGGAAAGGGAAACTGGCCTAGCAGTGCTTAGCAGGGCTCCTGGGATGAGCCTGAAGGCGGGTAAGGGGGAGAGAGGAAGGGAACCTTACAGGTGGCGGGAAATGAGGTGTGGACGAGTGGGCCAGCAAGGTCTGGGTCCTCAGCTGCCACTGCCTGTTCCCACCACTCTGCGATGTTCACTCAGTCACCCAGAAAACCTCCCACAGCGATGTGGGCGTGGGGAGAAGCCATACGAATGATCCCAGGATCCTCCAGGGCGCTCAGAGAGAATGGAAATTGGCGTGGCGGGGGGCAGGGAGCGAAATCTCAGTGCCTGGCGCATTGTAAGGTTTTCGTCTTTGTTTCTAAGAGCAAAAGCGAGCATTTCAAGGTCTTCAGAATAAGCAGGGGACACAACAAGTGTTAGTCCCACTTGGCGATTTTTAAAGAACCCTGTGTATGGATTTGGATGGCGGTCACTGTGAGTCTCAAATCATGGAGGGGCCAGCCAACAAGCGGTTGCCAATGGGTGACTTTGGGGTTCTTGTGTGGTGTGTATTTTATTTTGTTTTGGACAAGTTCTCTCACATAGGGTGGCCTTCTGGTCGCCCAGCCCCGCCTCTCTAGCACTGTGACTGGTTACAGGAGCGTGCTGTCGTAAGACTGAACCCAGGGCTTCTCCATACTAGGCAAGCGCTCTACCGGACCCCTCCCCCTTTGTATTTTTGCTTCACCTCTTTGAGCACCAGTTTCTTCATTATGAAATAAAGGGAATGACTGGGTCAAGTCATCCCCACCATCCTAGAGGCCTGAGACCGATGCTAAAAAGACCCAAATGAAGGTGCTGAGCCCCAGAGGTACCCAGGATGGATGAAGAAGAGTATAGGCCCCTCCCATCCTGCTCCTCACCCCCAAAAGTCAGTTTCTCACACCTTTCTTCTATTCAAAAAGGGGAAACTACATGGGTCCTCGCTCAAAGGCTTCTGATGGGTTGCTCTGTAACTCATCAAAAGAAGCCCCGTGGGATGGACCTATAAAATCCCACAGGAGAAAAACCCTACACACACAAACTATCTCCCTTCCCTCTGAATACATCTATCCTCTACCCAGACTCATTGCTGGCTCTCACCCTTTCTTTTAAGCTTTGCATAATTGCTGGAAAATAGTTTTTAATGCTTGCACTCATTTTTAAAAATTTTGTATGTTTGAAGATTGTCAGAGGTTTAATACAAGAATACTTTTTTACACAAGCCTGTAGTCTTTCGAGTCATTTCTCAATAGAATGTTTCTCACTAGAATGTATTTCTTTAGCACGTTCTGTGGTTCTGCCGGCGTCTCGAGATTATTCCATGTTTCTCTAAATCTGCAGTGGCCTGCCGGGATGCCCCCACCGCACACTTGGCGTGTTCTAATGTAGACATTTCTCAGCACGCAGTCAGCCGGCCTCTGTGGAGTTTCCCACATCACCACCTGGTTCGTTTAAGAAGAGGAAATTAGAGCTTTCTCAGCAGTCTTGTGTAAGAAACAAGTTACCAAGAAGTGAATGAACTGGCCCTGTGCCATCCCCTTGGGGTGGGGAGGGGCACTAAAACATTCCCAGGCCATGCTGAGGGGTGGGTGCTCTGATTCACCTTTCGTTTGGGTGACAGCACTTTGCAGGAGTGATGTTTCAGTGGGAGAAACAACACTAAGCAATACTAAGAAAAGGAACTGCCCAGCACCAGGGAAACTGAGGCTGGAGGATCGCTTCGATTCCGGGCCAGCCTAGGCTGCACGGAAAGACACTATCTCAACATCCACCCATCTAGGAAAAGAGAAACAGGATGAAGACGAGGATGGGAGGGCTGGGGGGACGACGACGACGACACAGTAACCCAGGACCGGCGTTTTAGAGCGTTTAGCTTGGGGCCACCTTCGCAGCCCCGGTCCCCGGCGGGCTGCGGGCGGAGGGAGCCGGAGGGGCGTGGCCTGGCCGCCCGACGGAGGTTCCCGGAAGGGCGCCGACGGCTGCGGGGCTGCGGCGGGCGGGCGCGGGGCCATGGCCTGGGCGCGGAGCGCGGCGGGCTGGCTGGGCGGCTTCCTGCTGCTGCCAGGTGAGCCGGGCGGGCAGGGGCCTGGGCTTGGGGGCGGCGGGGAGCAGGCGCCCAGGCTTGGGAAGTCGGGGGCCCCGTGGGAGCCCCGAAAGGGACGGGAGCGATGCCGAGCACCCGGCTGGGAACCCCTCGCCGACATGGGCGGCACACACGCGGCGCGGCGCTGTCTGGATCCTGGGCGGACCCCCCACCCAGCCCGCAGCGGGGTTACAGGCTGTCTAGACCGGAACCTGAAGCGGGGTGCGGTGACAGCTGCTGACGGAACCCCGGGAGTACAACAGAAGCCAGATTTTGTGAAAGAACCTAGGCACCCTCACCCCACCCCGGCCCCCGGGGCTGTCCTGACCCTCTGGTGCACACCCGGAGTCCTCCCCGGCCACCGCCCCCTTCCTGCGCCCCCTCCTCGGCAGGGCCAGCTCCCCTTCCCCACGCCTTCCTTTCCACAGGTCCACACCCTGAAATCTGAATTCTGCCCATCGGCTCCCCAAGTAGCTTCCGGAGACTCAGCAGTGTGTGCCTCTGGGCGCAGCGCTCTGGGATCCCCCCACCTCTCTCTCTCTGACTAGTTCTGATTCGCATCCTCGCTTCCTGCTTCCTTATCGTGGGACTTTGAGAGAGAGTCCCCGGCATCCTGATGTTGAATAATTACTGCCACACATAGTCGCTGTTGGCTCCAGGATAAGTGGTTTAGACTCTTTTATGTAAAAACATAATAATAATAATAATAATAATAATAATAATAATAATGATAATGATAATAATAAATAATAATTTTTGTCCTTAGCCCAAGGCTGCCTGCCCTCTTTTCGACCTCAGGCCCACTCAGATAAAGGTCTCCCTGATAAGCTTTCCTGAGCCCCCATGGCAGACCCGGTCTACTGCAGCTGATTGAGACCCCTGGGTCCCCTGCCCCCACCCCCAGCTCCAACCAGGGCTCCAGGGGCTTTAGCTAGAAACGGCCCTTAACCAGTCCCCATCAGGTCTATATGGAGTGTAGAATTTATAAAAATGGGTCTGAAATCCACCTGACCCTCTTATCCGTTCCTACCACCCAAATTCCGGTCACCATCGTCTGTCCCCAACTATTGTCCACCCTCAAATGTCTTCTCAACGTTGCTTCAGACAAAACCCAGCCTCCTCAGCATAGCTAACACCCCACCCCCAGCACACAGCATGAGACAGTGTGGACCTGCGAGACCCGTATTGACCGTAGTCGTTTTCTTGGTCTCCTTTTTGAGGAAAACAGCCATCTTTCCCTCCTGCCCCCCCCCTTTTTTCAGCTCTAGGGATGATTCCACCTCCTAAGAATGTTAAGATGAATTCGGTTAATTTCAAGAACATTCTACAATGGGAGTCACCTGCATTCCCCAAAGGGAATCTGACTTTCACAGCTCAGTATGAAAGGTAGGTCTGGTGGTTGTTTACAGGAAGGGTCGAGGGTGGTGACCCTGGGCTGAACCTCAGGAGGGAGCCAGTCTAACTGTGTCCTATTGTGTAGTGTGACAGTGGGGGGGGGGAGCCAGCCCGTTAGCCCCCCTCTCTCTCTAAAGGGAAAGATTGTAGCCAGCGCGTTCTACACCTCCCCTGCCCCTCCCTCTGACGTCAGGCCTTGCTCTGCTTGCTGTGTAACCCAGGGTAGTGTAGAAAGACACTATGTAGCCCAGGCTGTCCTCAAGCTGATGCATCTGAAGAGGAAAGGGACCGCCGCTGCCGTCCTTCCCAGTTGTACGACTAGACTAGCATCGGAAACAGTAAACCGTGTATGAGTGAATGCTGCCTGAAAAGCCCGGGTGTGCAGAACCGTCAGGAAGAGGCTTGCTTCCTACCCCTACCCTCCACTGTAGGCCTCCTAGAATGTTCTAGCTCCTAGAACGTTCTAGCTCCTAGAACGTTTCACCACCGCAGGGTCCCCTCCTTGTCCTGCCTGACTGCGAGTCCCTGTACCTGGTGAAGGAGGTACAGGCCAGCCTCGCCCCCAGTCCGTCCTCACTGGCTATAGGCTGGATGACAGCAGGAGGCCCAAGGCCTGTCAGCTAGCACATGTGACTCAGAAATGTGGGAAGACGGACGGGCCCGTCAGCCATACAGAGCATTCCCTTCCAGACCTCGCTAGCCCTGCCCCCTTTTCCATGCAGCTGTCGTTTTACACACATGCATACTGAAGGGTGACAAAGTTCAAGAAGGAATAGAAAGTGAGATAAAGTGACCCTTGCCTACATTCTGGAGTTTTAATGGTTTTCCTAGATTAAAATAATTTCATACCAACTGAACAGTTCAACGTTTTAAGTATAGTAATAAAAACTAGTGCACCTACAATGAGATTTACCAATTTTGGTATTTACTATATTTTTCCTCCCTGGACTCTCTGACTTTATTAATTTCTTCTCTCATTGCTGTGATAGAATCTGACAAAGCTACACGAGGAAGGAAAGTTCTCAGGGGCCTTGGTTTGGGGGTGTAGCCCCTCTCTGTGGGGAGCATACCCGGAAGCCTGTCACACAGAGGCATTCGGTTGGGAAACAGAGGGAAAGCTGCTTCTGGGCTCCCCCTGCCCATTTTAGGTAGTCTGAAGCCCCGGTTCATAAGAAAGCTCTGTTCACATGCAGGCATCCAGGGTGTGTCAAACCTTCCTGGAAACACTCTTGTAGACCTACTCAGAGAGCGTTTGCAGACTGATTTTAAATTCCATCAGATTGACAATGAAAATTCACCGGCATGCACACACGTTTCTGTGTGAGTTTCATAAAAACAGGGTGCCCTTTTACACCTGGTAGAGCTGCTCTCCAGAGTCCAGAGTCCCGTGGCTGACAAATCCAGTTCTGCAGCATCTCTGGTGAGGTAGGCTTTGTCATTTCATCTGCACGTTTTCTCCACTGAGTCTGGAAAGGCATGGCAGCTTCACTGTTCCTTCTTATGACAGTCGGCGTTGTTGTTGCCGTAATGAAGTGCCTGAGGCTGGGCTACTGGTGTCTAGCTACCAATGGCCTTGATGGCAGAGTCACAAAACAGTGCAGGGAGGGTCTCACAGGTGAGTGACAGAAAGCATGCGTGTATACCCGGGTACTGCTTTTTTTTTTTTAATGAAGCCACCAGCATTTAAACATACTACATAGTTACCAGCAAAAGTACTCCTCAGTGAGAAGTCAGAAAGAGGAGGTTACTACAAAATGTCTTTTGAGACACATGTGCCGGCCACCTGATGTATTAAGTGAATGAAATGGCCGGGTAAGAGAAAAACGCTTTAAAGAAATGACCCCTGCACTCCGGGGGTCATGCCATGGTCATGCCAGCCATGAAGAGCTGATCAGTTGGCAAAATGTTGAATGGGAACGGCAGGTTGTAGGATACTGTGATGACAGTAGTCCCTAGCTACTCTTTGCAAAGCCGTGAGCCATGGCTTGGCCCCGAAACCCTCCAGTCAACAGAACTGAGCGCATTAAGGATTTCGGTTCCCAGCACCTGTGTGGGGTAGCTCACAGGCACCCACCCCAGCTCCAGGGCATCCAGTGTCCTTCTCTGCCCTCCAAGAGAGTATGCACACACATGCTCGAGAGTGCGCACACACACACACACACACACACACACACACAGGCATAAATAAAAATAACCCTTTTTAAAAGGGGAGAAATCGGGCCGAGCACTCAGACACACGCATTCTCTGCCCTCCTCTAACCATTCCTGTTGACTTCCCTGATGTGATGGACTAAAATCTGCCCCTGCCCACTAAAATGAACTATCTGCCTTAAACTGATTTTGTCAGACTATTTTATCATAGCGACAGGAAAAGAAACCAAAACAGACAGCGAGGGTGACCCAATTGGCTGGGCTGTCACACCTAGACAGGAAGGTGTTGTGGGAACCTGTCAGGCAGCCCCTCCCTTCCAGGAAGGGAGCTCATGTTTTCTTGGTGGCTGTTGCTGCTGTCTCTGAGGATGGAAGAGTTGTTTTACAGTCTTTTCAGAAGCATCCCAATGTGAGTCATTCTTGGGACAAGAGTCTTATCTTATTATTGCCTGGTAAATTTGTGTGTGGCAGCCCGTCACAAATCACAGCCCAGTGCTTTCAGAAATACACAATCCAGGAAAGAAGCTTTCTCATCAAGTGTGCTGAATGCTCAACCTGGGCTTTGCAGCCATGAATGCTTATTGGGAGGTTGAGCCCTCTGTTGCCAAGATGCCGACTTTTTGTTTAGCTCGATTTCCCCACAAATGTTTTGGCTCCAGGATGGACTGTGTTAAAATGTCTTGTGATTCCTCAAGCATCATTAAGAACTCGGAAAACACACAATTTGAAAAATATTTATTTCTGTGTGTCTACCATTTATCCAAATTAGTGATTAAGAATTTTCCAGGCACCAGGCGTTGGTGGCACACGCCTTTAATGCCAGCACACAGAGGCAGGCGGATCTCTGTGAGTTCGAGGCCAGCCTGGTCTACAGAGTGAGTTCCAGGACAGCCTCCAAAACAATACAGAGAAACCCTGTCTTGAAAAAAAAAAGTTTTCCAGGCACGGTGATACATACCTGAAACCCCAGCATATGGAGTGCTGAAGCAGGGAGTTATTGCGTTAGAGGCCTGGACAACAGAGGAGACTCTCTGAACACGTGAAACAAAAGCAAACAAGCAAAGAAAAATGGATGCCTTTATCATCTTATATCTGTCTTTGGTATCACAGGGAGTAACGCAGCTGCCAGCCCAGAGATCAAACGTGTCCTGCTTTTGTCTCTCTGATTGTATAGTTACTGGTATTTCCAAGATCACTGCAAGAACACTGCCTCTACCCAGTGTGACTTCTCAGTCCTTTCTAAGTACGGTGACCACACTGTGAGAGTCAGGGCCGAGTTTGCGGATGAGCATTCGGAGTGGGTAAACGTCACCTTCTGCCCTGTGGATGACAGTAAGCCATTTATTTTCCGTTTTGTTCTATGTGGTCATCTTCCCTTGCTTTTGTCCACACGGGTAATCGCCAGTAAGAATTCTTGGCGTGCCCACAGATGGGTGGTCTGTGTCCGTAAAGCTTGGAATAACAAGAAACTGTGCCTTCAAAGAAACTCATGGGTGCAGCAGGAAAAAAAATACGTGTCATCAACAAAATACATGAATGTAAGTTTGATGATTTCCCTGCCTCACAGGTATGAATGAGTTAGGGCCAGCACTGTTACTGAGAGGAAAACAGACCGCTGTGACAGTGTTCTGGAAGGAAGTCACTGAGGAATTATGAGTTAAACCAAGAAATATGGGCGTGGAGAGGTGACCCGGTGGTTAAGAGTACTGGTTCTCTTCCAGAGAGCTCGGGTTCCGTCCCCAGCACCCACGTGTCAGCACAGAACAGGGTGAAAGTGCCGTCCTGTGGGCTCCAACAACAGCTCTGGCCTCTTTGGGCATACCTACAGGCGAAACACCACAGCACAAAATTAAAATCAAGTAAAGACTGCTTTTTAGAATGAGACAAATGACAAGAGCAGGTGCGGTGTGGGAAGAGCCCAGTGTAGGGAGCGCAGGCCTGGAGAAGGGTGGAGTGTGCCCGGGAGAGCTGACTGAGGCTGGCTGGTAAGCTCTAGAACGAATACGCCGCGGCCGGAGGTGGAGGGCTGTGGGGATGGACAAACATGTTAGAGTATCGGGAACTGAGAGCTAATGAAACCACTGCCCAGCAACTGGGAGACTAGAGTAGATCAGAGGTCGTGAGAATGTCAGGAGCAAATCGTAGGATCATCAGAAGGGTTGTCAATAAACTGATCAAAAACGTTAAAAAAAATACAGTTCAGGGCTGGAGAGGTGGCTCAGTGGTTAAGAGCACTGGCAGCTCTTCCAGAGGACCCAGGTTCAATTCTTCCCAGAACCCACGTGGCGCTCACAGCTGTCTGTAACCTCACTTCCAGGGGGCTGACATCTTCATGCCAATGCACACAGGATAAAGTTAAATAAATTACTTTTAAAAATACAGCTCACTGATCTCTAGGCTCCAAAACCAAACTCTCTTCAGTGCTGTTATGTTCCTGAAAACCCATCCTAAACTGAAGATACCATAAATCAAACATTGACAGGTCTAGCCTGCCACACCCTAGCTCACCAACACAGCAGGCAGTAGAGGATTTGCTCCTGATCCCTCCTGATCCCAGAACTGAAGGGGAAGTGGCGGCTGGCAGTCGTCTGCCTGCTTTGGAAAAGGACATCAAACCTCAGGTCCTTAGCTTGAGGGCTACTACAATTCAGAAGGCAAAGTGCAGCCTCTGTCTGTGTCTCCACACCGTAAGCCAAACCACTGAACCCCTACTGTACTGTATGCTGGGCCTGCTCTTGGCATTGGAGTTACAACAACAAACAAAAGCTAAGCTTTGTCCTCCTGGAGCTCGATAGACTCATAGGAAGAGTGGCGGTAACCCAGCATGTGGGTATCCTATGACAAGGAGTGACTATGGCTCTCAAGACAGAGAGTCAACAGGAAGAAAGGAATGCCGCTCTCCTCCACAGAGCCACAATATGCAGACTCCCCGGGGAGCCCCATAGAGCCAGCCACATGAGTAGCTGGTAAAAGAAAAGTTGTAGGATATATAGAGTTATAGGTGATAAATATTTATGAGTAATCTCTACGGGTAACAGAAATATCATTTGTAGCCTCAAGGCCAGAAAAACAGAAGAAAATTCGAGCCAGTAGAAGGCAGAGAACAAAAAGGGAAGAGACGAAGCTAATAAAATTAAACATTTAAAAGCAGACTTCTTGTCAAGCATGGAGGCACACGTCTGTAACAGCACAACTGACAAGGCTTAGGCAGCAAGGGCACACGTGTGAGCTATTGTGAGCTAGGTACAGGGGTAAACACCCCCAGAAAAGGCAGTTTTACAAACAGTACAAACCAAAAGAGTTGGAATAACCCTAAATATATTAGACATCACTGTGAACATAAACGGATTAAATTTGATTAATAAAAGACAAAGGTTATCGCATTTTTTTTTTTGGTTTTTTCGAGACAGGGTTTCTCTGTATTGTTTTGGAGGCTGTCGGTCCAGCCTGGCCTCGAACTCACAGAGATCCACCTGCCTCTGCCTCCCGAGTGCTGGGATTAAAGGCGTGCGCCACCAGCATCTTTTTTAAGTAGGCAAAAAGAAAAAAGAAAAAGAAAAGAAAAAAAATCCACCGGTCTGCCTCAGCAGCAGCAGCCAGTGCTGTAACAGTGGTCTGTCAAGGGTGAGAGCTAGCCTCCAGTAGATTGTTGCGCACAGATGTCTGAGGGATTAACGTCCGAGTGAAGTGCTTAAAAGCGTGGCCTTTGACTGTCATTTTGTTGTGCTCTTACGTGTAGCCATTATTGGACCTCCTGAGATGCAGATAGAACCTCTTGCTGACTCTCTGCATATGCGCTTCTCGGCCCCCAAAATTGAGAATGAGCCCGAGACATGGACCATGAAGAACATCTACGATTCATGGGCCTACAGGGTGCAATACTGGAAAAATGGGACTTCTGAGAAGGTAAGCCTGGCTGCCGCGTGCATCTCAGATGTAGACACCCACGTCCTGCTCACTTTGGCAGCTGTGACGATGGAAAGGGCGTCCAGGGCCTGGGGTAAGGGCTCTGTGGGTAAAGTGCTGGCTGCGCAGCCAAGACCAGAACTTGGGTTCCTCGTTGCTCAAGTGAGAAGCCAGGCATGACAGTGCACTGCTGTAACCACAGTGCAAAAAAGTGGAGACGGGAGAATCCTGGGAACTCACTGGCCTGCTGGCTTAGTCCGTGGGTGAGCTCCAGAGTCAGGGAGACACATCCTGTCTCAAAAACAAGGTGAGCAGTGACAGAGGAGGACACCTGATGTCAACCTCTGGCTTGCACACGCACGCACGCACACACACGCACACACACATGCACGTGCATGCACACATGCTATTGGCGTGTGCTCACATCTATGCATGCACGCGTGACCAGGCAGAGTCTTGCAAAGTGGCGGCACCTGGTGCTCAGAGAGTCTAAAGCCTGGTCCCTTAGAAACCCAAAGCTTCTGGACTTGCAAGCGTCAAAGGGCAGACTCTCAGGATGAAGTCTACACCACAGACTTCCCTCCCCTTGAGAGGAAGTTGCAGGAGAAACAGGGCATAGTCAGCATTTGGCTGAGGGAAGCTGGAGTCAGCTGACATACCACATACCACAAACCACTTCATAGTTGGGACACCTCCCAAGTCCCGAGATGCTTAAGAAGTGTCATTTTTAACCCTTCCTGTTTTCCCCATTACTCTCTTTTTTTTTTTTTTTTGGTTTTACGAGACAGGGTTTCTCTGTATTGTTTTGGAGGCTGTCGGTCCAGCCTGGCCTCGAACTCACAGAGATCCGCCTGCCTCTGCCTCCCAAGTGCTGGGATTAAAGGCATGCACCACCACCGCCCGGCCCCATTACTCTCTTATTTAGGAAACATTCTTTTAAAAGAAACTTTATTACATATATTTCTTTATGCTGAGGGACACGCCACAGTCCTGGAGATGGAGTCTTCAGGCCTTCGAAGGCTGAGTCACTTGGCAGCTCAGGGAACAATTCTTTCCAAATAAAGGTTGAAGCCCAAAAGTCTGGCGAGAATATTGCCTCTGTCACCGTGTTGCTCTGGTCACATCCACGGCCTCAGCTTCCTAAGACCTAAGAATGGGCACAATAACCCACTTCACCCCAAAAAACAGGAAGAAAAGTCCAGTTTGTAGAACTGTTGAGGGATTTGCTAACAAAAGCCAAGCTTCTCCCGTTATCTGCAACAGTGGGAGGCTCTCTTCCCTTTATGTAGACATATTTATTCAGTTTTGGTCAAACTTACTGCTTCTGAGCTAAATATCATTCGTTGTTGTTAACTGACATATGTGCTGTATAAATTAATTACATTAAATAGTCATCAGTTTCTTCCCAAGAGTCTGAGAGTCTTAGGATGATATAATTAAACACACACACACACACACAAGAGCCAGACACAAATCTCAAGTTAATTTTTCAACCAAAAAAAAAATCTTCCACAGAGTGGAGTTGTGTTAGTCTGCTGTGATAAAGTGGGTGGTTTAAAAATGGTAATTCTAAAGGCAGATGGACCCAAGGTCAAGACACAGTGGCAGACCCAGTGTCTCCTGAGGAGTAGCCCACTTTGCTCCCAAGGTAATGCCTGAGGCTGCATCCCTTGATGACTAAGGGGGAGACAAAGGAGTGAACAGCTCCCTGGTACCTCTTTTATAAGACCTTTAATGGCACTCACGAGGGCACCTGCCAATCACCTCCTGAAGAACACAACTTAAGAAACATTTTTAAAAGATTTCATTTAAATTTAAATTGTGTGTGTGTGTGTGTGTGTGTGCGTGCGCGTGTGAAGGGTTCAGAGGACACTTGGTAGGAGTTGATTCTCTCCTTACACCATGTAGATCCCAGGTTGGACTCGGGGCATCAGGCTTGGTGACAGACATGTTTACCCACTAGGCCATCTCAACAGCCCAGGCTTCCCATTTAACATGGTGTTTTAGGTTTCATCATGAGACGCGCACATTTAAACCACAGCAAGAGATGCTTTGCTCACAGCCAAGGCCAGGAAGTGCATATCTACAGAATATCTAGTTTCATAATCACTCATCAACGTGGTGATCTCTGCTAAGCTCTGCAACCCAAAGTCCCATTCACTACGCTCCAGGGGCCACCGGTGCCTTCTAATTAAGGATCTAGTTCCTTAGTCACCGTGGCTGAGTGCCTCCCTCGTCAAGCACGACATGCAAAACCCCTTCATAATTTGCTTTTCTAGAATGCGCCGGCAGGGCTGGAGTGTGGTTACATGTCCATTCGCCAGCTTCACTTGCCGTGAGGATGCTAGAAAGGCCGCCTGCCCCCTCCTTTGCACCTCTCCTGGATGCTGCCAGATGGGTTCCCTGAAATGATAATGAAGGGCTTTGGCGGGGTTCTGTTGTCTTGATGGGGAAGGGAGGGTGAAAACGGAATAGCCCAGAAATAACAAGAAACTTGAGAAGGACCCTTCCCCTACTGGTGCCCGCCCGTGCTTCAAAACCGCATGACAAGGTCTAAGGGCACTGAGCTAATAGACTTAAATCCAGCGTCTGACTGCTTTCATTGCTATTGGTGGTGCTTTGTCTATGTGGGGGGAGTTGTGTTCCGTCTCTTCTTGATTTCAGTACATGCCATCCAGTTCCTGGGGTCCATGCTGACAAGCTGGCGACAGCCACACCCCTCCCCCCCGGAAAGGAACCAAATTAGGGAAAAAGAAGCATCTAGCTCCCTTAGTACGCTCTTTTATTTCCCCTTTGTTTTGCTGAGGAACTATTGTGGTTCCTCAAACTCAGAAGCATGCCATTAATTATGATGTTCTCATATTTGAATTCAATTTAGCGGTTAGTCAAGGACTCCAGGCACCAGGGAAGAATGCAGGAGTGCCCTGAAGACAGCAAGAGCCTGGGAGCCAGAGCCCACCAGGCACACACGTGGGGGAACCCCACAGGATCACAAGCATGCTGTGAACCCAGGGACAGGGTGGGAAGCACATGTAGCCTCCACACACTACATAACTCCGGCTAGCTAAGTTAGTAGCTTCAACCACAGCAACGCATTGTCTAACATTTCTGGAGCCTGAGGGTTGACGATCACCGCGTCTTCAGGGCTGCTCTCCTGAAGACATGGGATTCTCCCCGTTTGTCTCCCCCAACTCTTGCAGGCTTGCTGCCAATCACGTGGCGCTCTGTGGCTTCGAAGAGCACCTTCAGGTCTTGGCCTTTTCTTTACATGGCTTTTAGTGTGTGTGTGTGTGTGTGTGTGTGTGTGCACGTGCGCGTCCATGTGTGTGGGGTGTGTGTATGTATGTGTGTTGGGATTTAAGGCATGCACCACCAATGCCCAGCGACACATTTACATTTTAAAAGAGTCTACATCCAAATAAGGTCACATTTACAGGCGCAGATACGTGAAGTTTAATGGGATGCGGTTCAGCCCATTAAAAACGGTTTGTCTTTATTTTATTTTACTTTAACTGAGTATGCTGGTTAGTGAACAGCACAATGGAAACCCTCATGAGGGCACAGCTCGCCACTTGTCCAGGGGACCACGGTTAGGGACTGTTTAACCAGGGGCCATCAGGGTGAGCTGCTTTTCTGCAGTTTATCTGCACTCAACGTGGCAAAGCCCCGCCTCTCTGACATGTGGTAACTCAAACTTGGTCCTACAGAGCGTCTCAGCCACACGTGTCTTCTCCTACGGCGTGTGTGATGACCTGGCCGACGCGAATCCTAGCCCGAGTGCACTGGCACTTCCCAAAGGCACCTCACTTACCTGTCTGGAGTCAAGAGTGTGTATAACGTGATAGCAAGGTTACCGTGTCTCCAGGATCCCTTAGAGCAACCTGTGCAAGCAGCAGGTTGTGCACGCTCCCAAGGAGACTGTGGCTTACGGCCATTGCACCCGGGGCCCTGTGAGGAGAGGAAGGGAACCCGGTTGCCTTCATTGGCTACAGGATTTTTTTAAGGGAAGTGTGATGGTTTAGACGCCACATATGCTAAAGAATTGAGGCAATGGGATGGCTTGCTGGCCTCACGGTTGGTCGTATAACACTCCTCAGGATGCAACGTGTGTTGGGAGCTGGAAGGAGTTCCAGTCGGTGGCTCTTTCAGATAAGTTGAAGCACAGTTTATAGCTTGTGGGAAAGGAAATAAAAAAGAGATAGTAATACTGAAGCTTTTCTTGTCCTGACGCTACTTCAGCCCCAAATGAGCACACAGATGCTATATTAATTATAAAACTGTTAGCCAATGACTAGGGCTTCTTACTGGCTATCTCTGTCTTAATTAGTAACCCATTTCTATAAATCTGTGTATTTCTACATGGCCTTATCTTACCAGAGAACACCTGGTGTGTCCTATCTTCCCAGTCTCTACATGGCATCTCCCTGCCATCTCTCTCTGCCTACCTTTCCCAGAATTCTCCACATCTCCTAGTCCCACCTATCTTCCTGCCTCTATTGGCAAAACAGTGTTTTATTCATCAACCAATAAGAGAAACATATGTACAGAAGGACATCCCCCATCAAGATGGTGTCCCCTTACTGCCATGTGTGTCTCCCTTACAGTTTCAAGTCACTTCTCCGTATGACTCCGAGGTCCTCAGAGACCTGGAGGCGAGGACAACGTACTGCATTCAAGTTCAAGGGTTTCTTCTTGGCCAGAACAGAAATGGGGAATGGAGCGAACCTATCTGTGAAAGGACAACCAGTGATGGTGAGTGGGAACATGGACAGTCTATAACAGCCAATGGGGAGAGTGAAGACATAGACAGCCTATAACAGCCAATGGGGAGAGTGGGGACATGGACAGCCTGTAACAGCCAATGGGGAGAGTGAAGACATAGACAGCCTATAACAGCCAATGGGGAGAGTGGGGACATGGACAGCCTGTAACAGCCAATGGGGAGAGTGAAGACATAGACAGCCTGTAACAGCCAATGGGGAGAGTGAAGACATAGACAGCCTGTAACAGCCAATGGGGAGAGTGGGGACATGGACACCTGTAACAGCCAATGGGGAGAGTGAAGACTTAGACAGCCTGTAACAGCCAATGGGGAGAGTGAAGACTTAGCCTGTAACAGCCAATGGCGGAGAGTGGGCATGTAGACAGCCTGTAACTGCCCGGTCAGGGCTACATGGACCCCACCCTAGGTCCCAGACACCACGGCAAGTCAGCTCAGCCTCCACCACAGGTCAGAGGTTAGCCTCCTCATCGTCTGCATGGCCCCCAGGCCCCAGTGGCTCTGCCTCATGCAGTAAAGGAAGATGCGCCATTCTGAGGACACTGGCTCTTCCTTGCCAGTCCAGCGGACTGAGGTCTGCCTCCTTGAGTCCAACTTTACTATGCTCTATTGATCTCTCGGCTCTCTGGAATAGGTTGATCGTTCCTCATGCAACCACCAGGCAGGGACTGAGCCCTGCCACAACTTGCCTTTCCTCCCGTCACCTCTGGCTTTGGGTACATATAATGACTGGGAAGGGGAACTTGGAAGACACGTCAGTATCTCAGCTAGTGCCATTGTGTGCTGAGGCCCCTTGTAAAGCATGGAGCCAAGGCACAGTGGCATCTAACAGGGTGCTCTCCACAGCTTTTTAACAGGACAGTGGTCAGGGGGTGGCTCAGTGACAAAGGTCTTATGTAGCATCTGTGGCCCTGGATTCTACCCCAGCGCGCAGACGCACACGCGCACACACACACACACACACACACACACACACACACACACACACGGGGAGGGGGCTTAGGGAGGGGAGTGGAGAGGAGAGGAGAGGATTGAAACGGAACAGACAAAGGGGGAAAGGGGGAGCAGGAAAGGAAAGACGTGCTGCTTAGCCTGGGTGCTTCCTACACACAGATGCGCCATGACGTCCTCCAGGTGAGAGTATATGGCCCCAGCATCTGTAGCAGCCAAAGGATTGTCAAGACTCTCAGTAATCCGAGAGCATGAGAGGCGAGACACCTGTAGAGACACTGGTGTCATGAAATCTGATGTGAGGGACACAATTTAGTCTGCTTCAGGCCTGGTGGGGTGGCCCAGGCCTGCAATTCCAATACTTATGAAGCTGAGAGTCACCACAGGCTGGACTGTGTAGTGAGTTGCATGCAGGCCAAGCAAGGTCACAGAGTGAGTCCCTGTCTCCTGACTAGATCCAAAGGTGTTGTGTTTTTAAAAGGAAATAGAAAATCTGTTTGGCAAACACCCATTTTACAGGTTTTTTTATTTTATTTAAATAGTACAGCAGGTTTGCAGTGCGAGCACCTCAAGGATCTAGAAAAGGAGGCTCCAAGGTTCCGTAGTGAAGGACGAAACCAGAATTGAGCCCTGTGTAAACCCAGGTTGCTTTAACGCACCACCTACAGCCTAATTCCAAAGGTAGACTGAGACACCCGGCCCTTAAAATAAAACCAGAGACGTGGTCTGCCGATAGTGTAGTCAGCTAGATCTGCAGCAGGGGAGGAGCCAGGCCGAGAGTGCCGAGTGAGGCTAGTGAGTTGCCCTGCAACTCACACCCTTTATAAAGCACCCTCCCACCCTCTGACCTCTGCACTCTTCCTGAGAAATAACAAAAATGTCACCATCAGCCAGGTGTGTCCTTATCTAAAATACCAGGAAACCAGCAGTAATCACCTACCACGCCGCCTGGGAGAGCCTGGAAACCCTGACTCAGCCTGCCACACTGGGGAGGAAGCTTGCCTGGATGGATAAGGAGAGTTTCCGAGATGGGGTGACCTCTATTGTCAGAGTCCTCCTAGGGCCAGTGCGGCCGGCTCTCGGGACCCTCCATTCACCAGGAGGAATGCACGCACGCATGAAGGGGGCAGGGGGCTGTGCACTCTGAAACGAGACCCCGGGACTGGGATGTGGTTGTCCCAGGCTGGTGAGGAGGGAGACGGTCAGGAGGCTGGCGTGTGTGGGTGCAAACACAAGGGGACCAGAGAGAGGCAGGGAGGCAGAAGACGTGACAGCCTTTTCCCAGCCTCTTGCTCATCGGTCCCTCTGTCTGCCCACCTTCCATCCGTCCGTCCTTCCATCCGTCCATCTATTTATCCATGGGCATTTAAAGAGCCAGTCTGCTCAAATGCCTGTAATCGGTGGAACACCAGGACCACCATACTGTGAGTTCCCTGGTCTTCTGTGGCTAGGTGACAGCTGCCATCCTGCGCACAGCCCGTTTCAGGTGACTGGCTCCCACCAGGCCAGGCCGGTTCTCTCAGCCCCACCAGGAACCGGATGTGTGTGTCCTTGTTCAGGGGGGTGATGCTGGTTGGCAGCCATGGCTGGCTCGAGGGAAGCCGATTGGCCAGGTCAGCTGGAGAAGGGACTGCTGTGAGGGACGGATGCTGGGACCGTAGCTGACCAGGGTGACCTCCTGGCTGCTGCCACACAAGCCAAACAGGGTTGGTTGAAGCAGAAACATTGTATTTCATTCAGTGACGACTAGCTACAGTAGGGGAAGGGGCTGAGCTCGTCGCAGTCAGAGAAGTGTCCACAGGGAGAAAGTGGAGAGGGAGGGAGCCAGAGTAAGCAGAGGAGGGGAAAAAATGACAGTTGAGTCCGGTGCCATCACCACTCGCTATCTGGGCCTGCCAGCTGGCATTTATCAAAACCTGCCAGTCTCCTGTGGAGGCACCCTTCCTGTTGGCATCGCAGAGGTGGTTATCATCGTTGAGGAAGACAGGACTGGACCGCAGCTCCACGAGTATGTTCCAGAGGCAGAGACGGCCTCGGGCGCCAAGGTCTTTCTAGAAAAGGTCCCTGCAGGTAATCTGAGGCATGTGGTCAAGTGCTGACAACATCATGCACTCACTGCGTAGGCTCTGGTCCGGAACTCCAGGAAGAATGGACGGCCCTCGGGGACAAGGCGTCAGTGATGGTCGCTTGGGTTTGTGTGTAGAGCCGGTTTCTGCTCTCATACCAAGCACGGAGCCTGTGCCTCCCTGGGGCCCTGTGCCTCCCTGGGGCCCTGTGGGCCGTGTCACAGTAGATTCCCAGGCTCTAAGCCTCTCCACCAACAGGAGAGTAAACCAGGGTCATTGATGCTGCTGCTTCTGTATCCATCAATCATGCCAGACACCACGCTGTGAGGAAGGTTAGGCGAAGAGGTGACTCGCATCGAAAACACCACGAACCTCCAGCCAGCTGCCATGTTTCCAGGCCATTGTGACCAGATGGGCCTATTTTCTTTTTCTGGTTTTTCAAGACAGGGTCTCTCTGTGTATCCCTGACTGTCCTAGAACTCACTGTGTAGACCAGGCTGGCCTCGGACTCATAGAGATCTGCCTGCCTCTGCCTCCCAAGTGCTGGGATTAAAGGCATGTGCCACCACCGCCCAGCCAGACAGGTCTGTTTGGACGGAATGTATTGGGTCACCATGCCTACAAAGGGTGTGTTATCACCCGGTAACTCAACCTGTGGGTGTGCCAAGAGTCTAACCGGCTGCATTGTCCCCAGCAGAAACGACCCCTCCCTGGATGGTGGCCATCCTCCTCGTAACCTCCGTCTTCGTGGTCTTCCTCGTCCTGCTCGGCTGCTTTGGCTTGCTGTGGTTCATTTACAAGAAGGCCAAGTACACCTTCTGTTCTGGGACGTCTCTCCCACAGCACCTGAAGGAGGTAGGTGGGATGGAACAAGGGGAGACCTCGCTAAGGTAGGGGCCGTCCAATGTCCACATGTCCTGCAAGAGCCTGATATGTGTCCGTGTGCTGGCCCGTGCCCAGAGCCAAGGAAGCAAAGGTTTGTTCCAGGTCCCCCCCTCCCCAGACCTGCATTGTGCTCCTTACTGCCCAGAGAAACAAGTTCTCGGGTTCAAAGACAACGGATGGCTCTGGCAGAAAGAGAGCCCAACAGTGTGAGGCCGACGGAACCGGACACTCACGCTGAACACTGGCAAAGGGAGAGCCGAGGGAAGGCGAGGGGTGGCGGGTTTTCAGTCTGGGAGTGTCAGCATGACTGATGTTCTGGGGTGTGTGTCGTGGAAGATGTTGGGAGGGAGCTCTTTTATGAGCTTGGAGAGAAGAGGGAATGCACGGACTAAAGACTGAGGCTGACAAGCTCTTAGGAAATTGCATCCTGTACTGCAGCCAGCCTTCCCTGAGAGTGGATTCAGATGGCACATGGTTTTTTAATCACATCTCTAACTGCTGGGGGTATGCAGCACTTGGACAGTGCTGCTCTTATAAACACCACGGCCTACAGCAGCATGGAGAAGGAAGCGTTTAGTTGGCTAACAAGTTACAGTCCACATCGAGGGAAGCCGGGAGCTGAAGCCGCGAGGGCGGCTGCTTCCCAGCTGCTCCCCGGCTTCCTCAGACCCCTTTCCATGTATCCCAGGCCCGTTTGTCCAGGCACCACCCACAGTGGGCTGGGCCCTGACACATCCATAGGCAATCAAGAAAATGCCCCACAGATGCGCCTATAGGCCAATCTGATGGAGGCAGCTCCTCAATCGAGGTTCCCTCCAGGTCTGCATGGCTTTCAGTCACGTCGACAAGAACAACCAGCGCAGGAGGCATGCGTGAGGTTCTGAGTTCAGTCCCTGATAGTGGAAGAAAGTGAAGCCGTGCTGAGTGTATGCTTGCAGGAGATAACCGAGAAGACTTCGTACGGCTCTCGCTCTGTGTTGGGTGGTATAGGCGGTCTGGAGGGATTGGTGGCGGAGGTCCCTGACATCCCAGCCCTCTTTCTGCTAGACCCTGACTATCCTGACTCCCAGCACAGCTGGTAAGGTCCTCCAGTGACCCCGTGGCAGCCTTGGTCTTGGACTTCTTCTTTATACACTAAGAGGCTGATCCCATGCACAGGGGAAGCCCAACCTGTGGAGGGTGTGTCCCCACGATACGATCCCCACATACTGCATCACCTCCCTGTGATCCTGAGGATGCGGATGCTATGTGGTCACAGAATAAACAGAGGCAGGACAGTTAACAGTGGCGTGGGGGAAACTGTACCACCCACGTGTGTGTCTGGCCGGCAACCTCTTACGTTGTGTTAAGGACAGGACGGGCCTGACAGCCACACGGTAATGCCACTCTGTGTGATGACAGAAACTGTCTAAAGAAAAACTGCTTTATTCAAGGACATGGCAGGGAAGTTTGCAGTTCCAGGGTGCACATCATGGAAAACTGCTTTATTCAAGGACGGGGCAGGTCAAGTTTGCAGTTCCAGGGTACACGTCATGGTGAGCAGGGGGAGGCGTGGGTGGTGGCAGCAGCGATCTTAGGTATACTTAGGGAAGTTAAGGAAAGCAGATATTTAAGGGTAAACTGAGGGAAAGTGCCCTAGTTATTTTGAAGCAATGACCCTTGTCTGAAATATCAGTAGCAACATTGATGCTGGTTCAATGTTTTTGAAAAAAGCAACCGCAACCTCTCGGGTAAATGTCCTTGCAGAGGTGGCCTCTGTGTGAAGCTGTGGTTCGGTGTGGTGTCTTGCCACAGCTCGGGACATAGGGCATTATTACGCACGAAGCCCCTGCCTTCGTGATCTCTCGGCTGTTTGGTTTGGTTGTGGCCACTTTGGGGCCTTATATTCACCTATTCTCCCTCAGTCAGACTCAAGTGTTGGCCAGGGCCACACAGCCCACACTGAGCTGCTGCAGACCGCCCAGCCTGAAGTCTGCTCTGCGACATTCCTCATGCAATTGACTGTGACATCATACACTTCACAGATCTGCAAGGTCACACATGTGCCGGGCTCAGTTAGCATGTGGTCACTGAGTCACACGCCCGCCTGAAGGCCTGAGCACGGCTTCCTGCCCCTCAGCCCATGCACGCTTCAGGACCCTTTCTGCTCCCTCCTCCCAGTGCCAGCAGCCTCTGCCTCTCGGTGGACAGTGTGCAGTATTCCCAGAAGTGGAGTCTGCTGTCCAAGCACCCAGGAGGAGTACTTCCTTCTCAGTACGGGAGGGACGATGAGTCAGTGCCGCCTTTGGTGAACCTTCTCCGTGAGACTCCTCAAATTGTCTGGGGTACTAGGTCTCCCCTTCTTCCTAGAGAAGATGTCCCACTCAGCCCAGATTTAATGATGCTGTGTGCACCACGGGTCCCATAATGTACTGTGATAGCCTTTGTTCGCACACCAAAAATCTATGTGAAGAGCTTGCAGAGGAGGACACAGGCCTTATGCGATGAGTGTTGCTCCCAGGAAGGGACCCGGCTGTAAGCAATGCAAGCTGCCAGGTTCCTAGAAGCCGGGGACACCATGAAGGTGCTGTGGGTACCACAGGCCAGCACCCACCCCTGCTAGGAAGCAAGTTTCAGAGCAGAGAGAATCTTCTGGAAGGAGTGCAGGCAAGTCCTGCAGAACCACAGGTGAGACTCTCTGGGGATGAGGAGCTGGTGCGAGCCGAGCTGGAGCAAGAACAGAGAGGGGACAGGCCCTGGCTCTGGGTGGGAGAACCAGGAAGGAACTTAACTCTCCCCCTAGTATTTTTGCTGCTTGGCTTCACCATCAAAAACAAACTGGTCAACAGGAAAAAAAGAGATAGATGGATCAAAGCTAGGCAAATGCATTCAAGGGACCGGACGGACTGAGCCCCCCCCCACCTGCAAGGCTAGCAGGCCTCACAGTAGCCGTGAGGGAAGTGGGGATATGGAGAAGAGCTGGACGGTGAAGGCAAAGGAGACTGCGGACAAGTAACACTCCCCACGTCACCGCTCTCCAGGCACACTACCTGGGCATGATGCACACACAGTGCGCGTTGACTTGGCATGATGCCATGATGCACACACAGTGCGTGTTGACTTGGCATGATGGGCACACAGTGCGCGTTGACTTGGCATGATGGGCACACAGTGCGCGTTGACTTGGCATGATGCACACACAGTGCGTGTTGACTTGGCATGATGGGCACACAGTGCGCGTTGACTTGGCATGATGGGCACACAGTGCGCGTTGACTTGGCATGATGGGCACACAGTGCGCGTTGACTTGGCATGATGGGCACACAGTGCGCGTTGACTTGGCATGATGGGCACACAGTGCGCGTTGACTTGGCATGATGGGCACACAGTGCGTGTTGACTTGGCATGATGGGCACACAGTGCGCGTTGACTTGGCATGCTCAAGTTCAGGGAGACTGAACGGGGGAAGCTGGATGGAGGCCCCCAGCACGGCCGCAGCTGTTTCAGTATCGCAGTATTTTATGAAACAAGGGAAATCTAAAATGTGCATCTTTTACAAAAAGTCTCCACCATCTCGTGTCTATTTCACGCTGACACACCTCGGTTCAGACAGGGCACCTGTCAAGTGTCTAGTAGCCCCACGTGGTTCTTGGTACTGGACATTACCAGGTTAAAGGTCAAAACGGCGTGACACAGAGGACGCCGGTGAACTTGGCCCAAGACATATGAGATATACCTGTGTCTACCCATGATGCATTTACCCATGGCCTGTATAGCCCCCCCATCCCCCACAGCCCTCTTCCTAGAAGAAAAGGCAGCCAGGCACGCACTATACAGCCTCAGGGTCAGGCTACCTTGTTTTCCAGGGAGAAGTATTAGTTCTTATCCCACCTCTTTTAACATGGTGAAGCAGGCAGCTTGTCCACCTTGGTCACATGCACAGTGTAGCTCGGTGGCAGTAAGCCTCCATCGCCGCCAAGCACCCCCAGAGCCCATCCACAGCAGAAACTCATCCTGCTCAACACTCCCCGGTGTTCCTTCCTGACAGCCGCCGTTCTATCTCTGTAAACTTGATGGTCCTAGGCCCCTCATATAAGTGCAGTCACATGCACACACTAGTTATCTGCCTGTCTTCCTTTTTACAGGACAGGGTCTCGCAGAGCCCGGGCTGACCTTGAACTCACGGTGTATCTGGGAATGACTTTGAACTTCTGATCCTCCTACTTCCTCTTCCCAAGTGCTGGGCTCATGGACGCGCAGCAGCATGTCCAGTTCTCTGCTTTGCTGGCTCTCACTCTGCTGGCTGAGCTACATCTGGCGTAGACTAGAGGACAGCTTTCAGTTCTGTCGTCCTGCCATGGGGACGGGGAGTCACATTCGGGTCACCGGGTGTGAGTGGAAAGCACCTCTACTCGCTGAGCCAGGGCCCAGAAGCTCCTCTTTCATCAAAACAGAGTAATCCCCCACGAAGTACCAGCGCGTTTGAGTGCTCATCCCGGGTTCTGCTGTTCGGTCACTGTTGGCAGCTGAATGAGCCTCTTCCGCTTTCATTTCCCTTGAGAGCACCAACTGTGAGTGGGATGGCTAGGTCATGTGATAATTCCCCCTCCCAAGGCACCACCACAATTTTACTGTTGCGTTTTAAAGTTGTGTCTTTCCAGCCCTAAAGTTTTACATAAAATCTTCGTCAGCCTGGAAAAAGGAAGAAGAACGGGGGTGGGGGGACCTGATTCTTACGTAATGGCCTTTAATTTTTCTGCAGTTTCTGGGCCACCCTCACCACAGAGCGTCTCTGCTGTTCTCCCTTCCTCTCTCCGATGAGGCCGAGGTGTTGGACAAACTGAGTGTCATCAACGAAGAGACCGAAGGCAGCAGGCAGAGTCCGGGAGACGGCTGTGCACTAGGGACCCCATGCACGCCAGAGCGCCAAGAGCTGGGGTCCAGGAACAAAGCCCCCTCGCCAGCACACGGTGACCCCTTACTTCTTACGTCGGCCTCGGAAGTGTGACTTGTACAGACAGCCAAAGAACCAGGTTTTAAAAGCTCTAGTGACAAAAAACAAAACAAAACAAAAAACACTCCATTTGGGAGTTCACGGCTTTATAGACTTTAATAATTTAGGGACCAAGGGAAAGCTCAGCTGATGGAGTGTTTAACATACGTGAAGTCCTAGCCTCAGTCCCCAACACCGTTTAAGCCAGGCATGCAGTGTCTGCCTATAAGCACAACCCTTGGGAGGTAGAGGCAGGAGGAGCAGTAGTTTGAGGCCAAGTTGGACCCTGTCTAAAAGAGAGAGACGCTTTATTTTTCCTAATGACCACTGAATGTAATTGGAGCCCATTGTGCTCCCTAAAGTAGAACCATACTTAAATTGTGACAAACAGAAATGAGGGACAAAGTGGAAACGCCATAAAATCCTAAGAACGTCTGCAGACTGCCCTCATCTCCAAAGTGGAAACGCCATAGAATCCTAAGAACGTCTGCAGACTGCCCTCATCTCCAAAGTGGTTGGCCCCACACCGGACTCACATGGATGTTTTGGATTCTCAAGGATCAAACAGATTTCCTTTCCTACCTGTATATTTTGTGTATTACCGGTGTTCTGTGAATACTGTGTTTGTATGTTTGTGTTTTATAACTAGCTTCCCGCTGTTATAAAAAATATGTATATATGACATAAACCATTTAAAAGGAAGAAAGTTGCCTTTTGGGAGTGTCATGGCTTCAGAGGTTTCTGTCCATGGTCTCTTCACCCCTGTGTTTTAGGCCTGCACTGGCACATTATGTCACGGGGGAATGCATGCTGGATACTGCTCACCAAAGGAGAGCCAGGGAAAGAGAAGGCATGGGGAGGGCCAGGGTTCCACGGTCCCTCCTTAGGGGCGTTCCTCCAGCCACCTAACTCACTCCTCCTAGGCTCTACCTCCCAACTGTGCCACAAGCTGGCCACCGTTGGCCATAAATCTTGTTGTTTAGCATATGGGATTTGGGGACATTGAAGATCTGAGCCACCTTCGTGTTAACGCTAACATATCCATGGATGAGGTTCCTCTGCGTCCCTGTCCAGACAGCAAGCGCTTGTTGAGGCTGAGGTCCTAATCTTTTACTCGGTTGCTCTATCTGAGATGCGCCCCCTCCCCAAAACAAAACAGAAAAGCCCTGGGCTTTGTCCACTAAGACATTTACTAGCCTGTGACCTCTCTGTTTGACCTGCTCTTGGGTTGAAAAGATGTAACGATTAAAGATACAAACGTTAAAAAGTGACTACCCCAGAGCCAGCACATAATAGTCACTCGATAGACAGTGTCAGTTCGTAACCCACTATATCATCCAGTAGATGTGACAACCTCCATAAGTATAGGCCAATGACAAATGTCCCCCAGTCTGTGCCAGAATGACAAAAAAACCATATCCATCAAAGGCCCCCAAACAGGAAGAAAGCAGACGACTTTGAACCTGTGGACGTAGCTCAGTGGTAGAGCCCTTGTCTATCGTGAAAGCCCTGACCATCACTGCTACCCCATGTTAGTTAGGTCTCCACTGCTGAGCCACAACCAAAAGCGACGTGGAAAGGTCCATCACTGGGAGAAGCCAGGACGGAAACCGGGGGGCGGGGACTGAAGCAGAAACATGAGGAGCGGGGCTTGCTGGGTTGCTCCTCCCGGTTTGCTGAGTTCGTGTTCTCATAGACACCAGCACCAACCTCAGCGAGCTGGGCCCCCACACCAATCAAGAAGATGCCCCATAGGCTGTGCACAGGCCAGTGTGACGGGGGTGTTTCTCAGTTGAGAGTCTCCCTCTCCCTCTCCCCCTCCTCCTCCCTCCCTCCCTCCCTCCCTCCCTCCCTCCCTCCCTCTCTCTCTCTCTCTCGCTGTAAAATATCTAGAATTTCTTTTTTATTTAAATTAGAGACACGCTTGTTTCACATGCCAATCCCAGTTCCCTCTCCCTCCCCTCCTCCCCTGCCCCCCACCAACCCCCTATCCCATCCCCTATCTGCTCCCCAGGGAGAGTGAGGCCTTCCACTGGGGATCTTCAAAGTCTGTCACATTGTTTGGAGCAAGGCCTAGGCCCACCCCGGTGTGTCTAGACTGAGAGAGTATCCCTCCATGTGGGAATGAGCTCCCAAAGTTCATTTGTACACCAGGGATAAATCCTGACCCACTATCAGAGGCCCCATAGATTGCCAAGGCCTCCTCACTGACACCACGTTCAGGAGGTCTGGGTCGGTCCTATGCTGGTTTCCCAGCTGTCAGTCTCAAATGATTCTAGCCTGCATCAAGTTGACAAAAAGCTAACCAACACACACATACACCCCACACACATATACACATACCACATACAACACACACATATACACATACCACATTCCACACACATATTTACATACCACATATACACACACACCACATACCAACACACACATACCACACACACCACCCACCACACATACATATACACACACACATACCACACACAAGTATACACACATACCACAACACACCACATACCACACACACACACACCACATACCACACAAATACACACTACACATACTGTTTTAAAAACAAAAACCAGAAAGAGACCATGGTTTATGAGCCAAACACTCCCTCACAAACCCAGTCGGCTCCAGCCCTTGACAACCTCACTCTGCTGACTGCCAGCGATGAGTCTGCCTCTTGCTCCTCCTCCAAGAAGCCAAAGCTGTAAGGGAGTCCACACAAAACCACAAAGGGAATACAGGAGTTTATTCTGGAGCTAAAATATGAGTGGCCAGGGCTCAGAACGGAGTTGGGTTCCCCTCAAATGCAATGTTCCGATGTTTTGTGGAGACTTTAATGTGGAGAACAAATTAAGTTATGAATCAAAGCACTCAACAGTACATAGGGGGATCTCAACTATGGGCCACAGACGCTATGTGACACTACTCCTGGCCCTTCTGTTGGTGGGTAGGGTTTTATGAAGACACCACATTCCAAAGGTTTTTGGGGCTCATCAGGATGTTAGGTTTACACACATGTGGACAAGGAGGCTTTCTGGGGCTAAAATAGCCGGAGAGAAGTTGTAATTAGACTCTCCACCTTGAACACCCCACAGTCATCGAAGTTTTAGTCAGCTTTTGCTGGGAGCCTCCTTTCAGGAATTCCCACCCACTAGGGCAAGAGTGGGGTTCGGCAATCCCTGTCCAAGCTCTCCTCCTACAGCCCAAAGGCCGTAGATGTAACACTCCGCCAAGCTCCTGACTGCCTGAGAGACTCTGATTTTTGGCAAGGCCCCCTGGAGAGCTGGGAATAGTATTTCATGCCTGTGATTCCAGCACTTGAGAGAGAGGCAGGAAAATTGGCAAGTTCAGGACCAGCCTGGGCTACATAGAGACACTTTGCCTCAAATAAATACACAAAATGAAAGCTCCAGAAATGTCCAATGGGTATAGTAGCATATGGGTAAATGCTGAGATCAGAAACGTAAAGGAGCCAGCCACTAGAGAGACTTCTTGCCTGTACCGTATCCTCAGACTGGATGGGTGAGATCCTGTCTCTAGGAATCCTCAGACTGAGTAGGCGAGAGATCCTGTCTCCACTGCCCCCTTCCATCCCTGTCTCCACTGCCCCCTTATAGTCCTGTCTCCACTGCCCCCTTCCATCCCTGTCTCCACCCCTTCTATCCCTGTCTCCACTGCCCCCTTATACTCCTGTCTCCACTGCCCCCTAATATCCCTGTCTCCACCCCTTCTATCCCTGTCTCCACCCCTTACATCCCTGTCTCCACCCCTTATCTGTCTCCACCCCTTCTATCCCTGTCTCCACCCCTTCTATCCCTGTCTCCACCCCTTCTATCCCTGTCTCCACCCCTTCTATCCCTGTCTCCACCCCTTCTATCCCTGTCTCCACCTCCCTAGTGCTGGGATTAAAGGCTTGGGATCACAAATACTAGAATCAAAGTCATGAGATCCAGGTGCTAGGATCAAAGGTGTGCGCCTCCACTGCCTGGCTTCTATGACTAACTAGTGGCTAGCTCCGCCCTCTGATCTTCAGGCAATTTGTTAGAACACAAACAAAATGTCACCACACTGCCTCCCCAGCCAAACAAACACCCTTTAAAGTGTTTCTTAGAAAGGATAGAAAGAAAACTCAGAGGCCAATAAAACCCAAAGAGGTTGTCAATGCCGCCTTCCACCCCAAAGGCATTTCAGGTTTTAGCCTCACATAAAAAGCTCTCAGGGTAGAAGGTAAACCCCAAATACCTTGATGGAGCCTAAAGGAGACCCCACAGATTGAGACCCTTTGTAAAGGGTGAACTGGGAACAAATGAATCCTTTTCCCTCATGCCAGTGTCCTATGACTAGTGGAATAAATCCCCACACTCTCAGGAGTTTAAGATGGCAGAATTAATTTTCAGAGTTTGAGATTCCAGCATTGGTGGGATGAAATCAAAGTGTCCAAGGGGGGCTCTTGGGGATCCGAGGAGAATCCATTCCTTGCCTCTTGCGAACCCTGTTATTCTTTGGCTTGTGGCCACACCCAGCCTCCCTCTGCCCCCACAGCTACCCCTCCCTTCCCTCTGTATTGTCCCACCACTTACTCTTCTAAAGGGTTCTGCGACTGCCAAAGTCTGCCTTGTGTGATCCCAGACAATCCCCATGTCTCAACATTCTTAGTCACATTTGCAAAGAGCACCCAACAGCAATCACGAGTGCCAAGTACTAGGATCCGATGACCTCTGGGATCATTACTCAGGGCCATTGCGTACCTGCCTGAACTACAAAGAAACCATTTTGGTTTGCGTTGAGGTTTGGCTTGGCTGCTGAGCGACGAAGTCAAATCTGTCTTTTCTGAGAAGTTCTAACCTCACAGTGGTCCTTGTGGTGGGTCACAGTCCCAAATCACCCTATCGAGGTGGTCAAACAAAGCTTCAGGGTCAACCTCTAGAGATCACAAAACCCAAAAGTGGCTCTACAACTAATCAGAGCCAGAGGGAGCAACGGCCGGCTAAGCCGGAGCCAGCAAGGTGCAGAAGGCGTTGCGGGTGTTTGGTTCATTCCCAGGGAAGACGACAGCGGCGGTGTGAGGGGAGCCCAGAACCACTCATGGACTCCAGTTTTCCATGGAGTTTTACGCAAAGGCTGCTTCATGCTCCAAGTGGCTGGAGGATAACCCTGCAGGCTCATGCCAAGATCTAGCCTGCAGGACACACCGAAAGGGAAGACGAATCAGTTCCCACAGCAGCTGGCTACTTCTGCTTACAGTATGACCCATCTGTCCATATCCCTTCCGGGCAGGAAACGGCCAAGGCCAGTGCGAAGGGAATGAGGAAGTATATTCCTACCCGGGCAACAACTGTGAGTCGGGCAGCAATTTTCTCCCATTGCGTTATGTGCATGTGTAAATGATGTGTGCATGTGAGAACGTGTGTGTTCATATGGCATGTGCATGTGAGAACATGTGTGTTCATATGACGTGTGCATGTGAATACAGACTTGGTACAACAAGTGTGTGAAAGTCAGAGGACAACCTCGGTGTCTGTCCCCGCCTTCCACCTTGATTGAGGTGGTAGCTTTTTATTTGTTTTTAATTGTTGTTGGGTTTTTGTTTGCTTTGTTTTTTGGTATTTGGGGGGGTTGGTTTGTTTTTTGTTTTTTTTAAGACAGGGTTTATCTGTGTTGCTCTGGCTGTCCTGGAACTCGCTCTGTAGACC